TGCCCTACTGAAGAGATGGGATTGAGAAGGAGTCATGTTGCTAATGAACAGATGTCATCCCAAGAGTACCCATGCTTGTCCTGTGACATCTGTAACAGAGGATGCCTTTCTTGATGCATCTGTTCAAGGAGGAAGTTTTATGTTATAGTTGGCCTGTTAGAAGGACGTCATGAGTCCTTAGCAATTTATTGCAGGGGTGTGTGTGTGTGTGTGTGCAGGTAGTGACAAGGTCCACATAATGGTTGGGCACTCAGAGATGGCAAGCACCTGCTGATCCCAGGGAGTTAATATTTGTTGACATTGCATAAAAATAAACTGGCATAAATTATGGTAGAAATAAAGGAGTACTGGGTTTAGTGTCAGAGTGTGCCAGTGTGTTCCTAACTCTGACAATGAGTTTTAATTGTCATGTCAGAATATATACCTCTCGGTCTCCTTCTGTAGGAAAGAAGCCTTCTAAAGCTGCTAATTCTGTGGATGTATTTAGTAATGCTTTGACATGCTCAAAATTTCAGGACATGCTCTGGAGAGCTGCTCAGTATGTATGGAGCTGGATTGGTGCAGAGTGAAATAGCAATGTGTCATCACTGGAAACTGAAAGCCAGTGCTTGCCCTAAAAGAGCTTCAGTGCAGGCAGTCACTGTACAGGCTTTCCCTGTGCTGTTTCTTTCAAGACTGAAGTAATCTTGAAAAGCACCATATAAACAATGTCTTTCATTTTCATGATCCACTCAGCGATGAGTATTTGGCATTTTTGCACAATCTGTGTAACACTAGTGTTAGATACTTTTTTAGAAAGTTTTGCAATGATGGCAGTGGTCTGTAATGCTTGCTTGAATATGTTATGGCAGTCTTTGTATGGCAAATGCTTGTCTCACTGACCTGGCATCCTGTAGAAGTCTCTGGTCTCAGAGAACAGCTTACCCGATGGATCAGGTCTCCCAGGATTTGCAGAAAAGGCTTTTGGGATCAGCTGACCTGTGCACACTTTGCTTTATTTTCTTTTGATTGGTTCAGATGGTCCAAATATTTGCAGAACTCCATTAAGTCCTAGTTGGGATGAAGTCATAAGTTCCACTTTCCACCAAGTCATGGAGCCTATCCAAATTAGTGTCAAAGCCTATATAATACCTTAGCTATATTGCAGGCTTGTATAGTATCAAGATCCTGTTTTCACAGCAGTTACATAGTTGTTACTTCAGTGAAGAATGATATGGCCCCTTATAAAGTGCACAAGCTGACGCCTGTTTTTTAATGTAATATTTACACTATTCAAGGAGCTAAAAGAAGGCTTTGCTTTAATAGATTCCTTCAGCTAATGTTTTTCCTTATACAGATGGGTTATTGTTTCCAGCTTTTGATACCTATGCAGATTTATATATTAAAGCTCTTTTTTTTTTTTCTGTTGGTTGGTTTTTTTGCCCTTCTCTGTGCTCCTGGAGCAAGAGAGAGGTTTTGCCATTATCTTCAAGTTGCCTTGCAGTTTTCTTTGAATATATTAAAAAAAAAAACAAAACAAAACAAAAAAAAGAAAAAAAAAACCAAAAAAGAAACCCAGCACCCTGTTTTTGTATCCCACACCACAGATTTAATTGTTTTTTATTTTCAACTCATCTTCCCCTTCTTGAGAGAAAACCTGGTGCAGCAATCTTTTAGCATAGACAGAACTCACATAATTTAGGCAGTTAAATGTTTGTTTGTTGTCCCCAATTGCTGTGATGTCACAGGTGTGAACGTGACTCTGTTAGAAATGTCACTCAGGAGATTACTGTAAATAAGTCTAATGACTTCATAGGGCTGTTAAAAAATCTACATGCTCAAGTATAAATAGCTTTCTGGGACTTCATATTGAAATAGAATGCCAGATTTTATCTACATTATCATTTATTCTAGCAAAGTAAAACACACATTGACAACCATAAAATTCTGGTGTGAGCAGGGAGTGTGCAAGACCACTGAGATTGAATTGACTCTTTTGCTTAATATGTTCCAGACCAAAACAATTTCAGAAAGTGAGGATTGCTTACTGGGGTATCTGTTAAAACTTTTTTAACCTCATCAGTGTACATCTTCTGTCTGGGCTTTAATTCAGGAAAAAATCTTACACATTGTGTTCCACTGAAAAAAATTTTTTACCAGTTTTAATTCAAAGAATAAGACTTACAGACTAAGAGTTCAGACTAATTTGTAATGAATGGAGAATGGTCAAAAGCAGGATATGCCAAGGACCTTGCCTCATTGTCAAGCTAATCATATATACAGATATACTTTAGGGTATCAGAATCTTCTTGTCATTGGTTTTGATTGTGAGATGTCTAGTGGTTTGGGTTCAGGTGGGAAATTGTTCAGAGTTCTGATTTTTTCTAGTGTATCTATCCTGATGGTTTTCAGTCTGTGCGTTTAACGAAGACATCTAGAAATGTTAGTTGTAGCATTCAAGCATTTATACTTATTTTTCCCCCTAAAGAATCTTAAGGACAAAAAATATTGTAGCTTATTTTGGAATATAAAGGATGAGTTCAGGCATTCCTTAATTTATGTGTGTTTGTTTCTTTATTTGGAATTCGGAATGGAGGCAGGAGAAATATAGAGAATACATGTATTGACTGTTCTGACAGTGTTCTTGTCAGGCGTACTCTGCAAACAGTCGTAGTTGTCACTAGGACTGTTACAATTCTCTGCAGAGAAACATTTCAGAAGGTCACATGAGCACTCGCTGCACTTCAGCTGGATTCCCTGCAGAATGTCCTTGCTTCATACTTCCAGATAAGCTCCCTATTTCTGTTGTTCTCTTTGAGGATGATAATCTTATAATAGAAAAATAATGCTGTATTTATCTATTATGTTAAACTAGTATGTTTTAATTTACTTTTCCATTGTCAAGGTCATGTATTGATTTTTGCAAGGCGGGTTAAGGTCTGCCAAGTGTGAAACTGTTGTCAGAATTGTGGCTGCCACTAGATATTATTCTGTACAGAAAAGGGCAGCAAAAGGCAGTCTGCCAAAAACATGAGGTGTGGCCATTCTAATTGGCTGTTGGTAGGGAGTTGCATATTTCTGTAATGCTCTAGTCGTAGACATTTAACATAGATACGGGTTTGTCTGATTCCTGCTTATTGTGGCCAGGAAAGGGAAGTAAAGAAAGTCGGCAGAACTTCTCAATTAACTTGAGAAAGATCACCTTGTTATTAATTGCACCATCTATTATCATGAGGTGGTACATGGTGTGTGCCTACATTTGTTGATATAGTTGGTATCTCTTACCACTTTGCCAGCCTTTAATACTTTTGGTACAGTGATATTCATCTGTATGATTCTTTGTATAATTCTTCAGCTCTTCTTAGCTGTTCAGTTGGGTGCAAGGGATTAATAAAGACTTATGACCTGTGCTGTGTGACCTGACACTGATCTGACATGTGTCTGCACTGCAGTCCTTCTCTAGATGAGGACAAAGCTGTTTTGTCAGTGTCATGAATGGAGATGCTCCTTCAGTTTACATGTTGAAAATCCAGTGGAAGGAAGAGAGGGGAAGATCCAAATCTCAGTCATGACTGTTTTTAATTCAAAATATGAAGATTTTGAGTTGTGCAGAATTGTTGTCGTGTGTTGGTATGTGCCCTGGCAGGAAATTGTCAGGTAGCAAGGCGTTTTCTGAATGTGGCTCAACAGGAGGCATGTAGAGCTATTTCTCGTCTCTAAATGGTGGAATAGCTGAGGTACTCTGATAGACCTATACTTTTAATTTTTTTGTGTATATCTTCCAGGGTAGTTTTTCTAGTATGAGTAAGCTTTCATGCCCAGAAAGCATTGGCAAGATGCACACAGCCTTCATACACCTTTGGTCATCCTTAGGGTGAGTTGAGTGGTTCAATCTCTTAACATATGCTAGGAATGTTTGTATTAGTTACTCTTGGTTTATAATGGGAGATGAGGATCCTGGAAAGCAATCCTCATGTTACCAGTGACTTACACCTATGTAGAAATAAATATACTCATTAGAAGGAAATCTAATTTCCTTTGAGCAGTCAAGGAGCAAAAAAGAATTGGTTCCTTGGGTCAGTGTAGGTCTTCTTTTAGAATGTTGATTGAGATTAGCCTACTGAAGATGATTTCAGGTAGATTACATGGGAGGTAAGGAGATAAGAATTAATACTGCTCCTGCTGTAACTGAGGGGATGCTTTTGTGCTCCTTTGGGGATGTTCTGAGATTTTGCTTGACTTTACATGATATGGTAGGATTAGGACAGGATAGAAGAGAATGTTTCTGTTGGAGGGACTGGCAACATTCACCTACTGTAACTGCCTGACCAGTTCAGGACTGATCAAATTAAAGCAAGCACTTAAGGACATTGTCCAAATGCTTCTTAAATAATCAACAGTCTTGGGGCATCAGCCACCTCTCTAGGGTGCCTTTTCCAGTGTCTGAACAACCTCTTGGTAAGGCAATGATTCCTAATGTCCAGGCTGAACCAGTTTTGATTTATCGCATCAAAATAATACAGTCTTTATCTTCTTTTCAGGTTCTTTTTTTTTTTTTTTTCTCCATAGCAAATGCTAAACCCCATTGTTGGTGAATTCCACTATTACCATAACAGTAGAGAGACCAAATAATTTGTAAGATCTGTCAGTATAAAGAAACAAAAGGTAAACCTGCTATCTGTAAATGGGCTATCCTTCCACTTGAAATATAATATGTTTAAGGGACTGAGGTTTGCTGCTTAGATGCCAAAGATAACTGTATCTCCATCAAACTTTATTATTCTGCATTCAGTAATCTGAGCTGAAAGGGATTCCTTTTATCTGACATACCATGGTGGCAGTGCTAACTTTAGGCTTTCAGAAATGTTTATAATAAATGGTACACATTCATGTACATTGTACAAGACTATGGGGGAGACAACACAGTAAAGAGCAGAGCAATGAAGAATCCCAGGTGGTTTGTGAGTGGCTTTCATCCTGTAAAGTCATCTTGTGTAACCTTGCCTAACTTTCTGTTTCAGGAACAAGAAGATCCTAATAAGCTTGCTACCAGCTGGCCAGACTACTACATTGACCGCATCAATTCCATGGCAGCAGTAAGTTACCTCTCCTGCTAAACAGGGAAGATTTCCTACCACAGGGATGTGTTTCTTTAGGAAGAAGTCCTCAAGGGAGAAGAATGTTAGCCCAAAGGCATAACTGATTTAAAATAGGCTTACAAAAGAAGAGTATGGGGATTAAGAAAAAGCCCTGCTCTAGCATTACATTATATTAGAAAGCACTATAAACATGTCCATTTTTATTTCTACGATATTGAGCACTGAAGGCAACCAAATTAGAGTCTGAAATAAAAATTGAAGAGAATATTTGATGAATCAGCAAAATACAACTATTTAAAAACCAGGTGAAGTTTTATTTTGTTGTATGGTTTCAAGTTGATTTGTAACCAATCTACAAAATAACACTTGGGTTCTTAGTGTAGTAGAAGAATTAAAGAAACAGTAGTTGTTTCTTGAAGATAATATAAGAGTACATAAATAAAAGAGCATAAGGCCATAACACCTTAGACATAAGATAAAAAGAAGGCAAGAATGTATTTGAGAAACTTTTTTTGATCGTCCGTGTTGAATAGTTGTGTAGTGTGTCTCTTCCCCTGAAACATCCAGTAAAGCTGGTCACCAACAGAATCAGAGCATCTGCATATAGTGTTCACTGATCTTTGATTTGGTAGATTTTACATTTTTAAATTTGATTCTTTTACTGAATTTGTAGTGAAATTTTTCCTCCAATTACTCATGTGCCGTGTCTACTCAGCTTTAGTTGATGGTTGTGCAAAAATTATGATAGAGTTCTGTTTCTAGCATCTTAGGTAGTACACCTTGCTTTGTCTACTTATGCTTTTATTTTAGATTCCTGAAGGCTTCTCTGTGCCTTTTGTATTGTCGTTATGAGCTATAAAATCATTTCATAAAACTAATGTCTTAATGGATGCTAAATGTGGCAGCAATGATGTATTTGTCATGGTAAAATATGTCTTGCTGAGTAAAACAACCTAAGATTTACAAGCTATAATAACTCACTTAGGAGGATAAAAGAAAAGCTGCTTTCTACTGAGAGTCATGAATAAACAAAACTATCACCTTCCTTCATGCTATATTTTCATGGGGCAGAGTAAGGGAATAGAAAGAATATGGACTTATTTTTAGAAGAGACATTGAGCTTTAGTGGCTGGCATGACACTCTGCTTTGATTTCCTGACTGAACAAATTTACTCTACAAGGGCCATTAAGGAAAAAAAAAAAAATTAGCGTGAAACCTTGCAGTGTTACTGAGCCAAATACTTCTGGAAGGATTTGATCCAAGGCCTCTTGAATCTACTGAAATTTTTCCATTGATTTCAGTGACTTTTGGATTAGTCTTTAAATGATCTTGATGTAAACTTGGAGTGAATATGTATACACCACTGTTACAAATCTGGAACAGCTCCATGGAATGAGACTATATTTTGGCCTATGTTTCTAATTTTAAACATGTTTTAAGAGCACCAATAAACACCAGCCCTGGTAATGTTGTTTGCATGCCTGAATGCCAATGCCTGAATGATTGATAACCTTTTATTTGGCTTCGAGACTCATGATTCACTCTTATGCTCAAGGTGTTGAGAAGACACACTGGGGTTAAAACCCCTGCTTCTGATTTACCATTTGGTTGCTTAATTTTTCAGCAGGTGAAACCGAGTTGACTCGATTTTGCTGAAATTGTATCAGTGGAAAACTGGACTAATCCAGTTAAGAATCAGCTCCAACACACTTTAAAAGACATGTTCTGTTCATTCTTATTTAGACCTCTGAGATTTCTAACTTTCAAACAGTTATTTTTGGGTCCCATATAATTTCAGTTCTAAATTTAGTGATGGTTTTTTGAATTTTTTTTTTAAACTGCTTCCAAGAGGGGTTGGCTTTGAAGCTGTGAAAGAAAAGCATGTTTCATGTTGCTTCCTAACAATGTCTAGTGTATTTCAGTTTGTGTCTCTTGGGCACTATCAGGTATTGCAATATTTTAATTAGAAATATTGCAAGAAGTGTTGGAGCTGAAGTGGTAGTAATAATCACAGAAATGTTAGTTTAAAATGCCTTAAATCCTGCTTTTAATGAAATTTAACTTTGCATCTCCTGTGGATTTGTCACATAAGAATCTTTTCATATTTGTCTTTCACATCCTTTTTTATGTCCTTTTATTTAATTATAAAGTCCTTTTTTAATATATATTAGCTTGGCAAGTATGTTCCTCCTACTTGCAGATTGAGTGGAAGCGGCACCTTTTTTGTGCTGATATCATCAGGTATCTTTCTGTGGATTTCAGCAGGCCAGGGCTCCTGTGCTCAAGGATCACTTTCTCAGAAGCCCTGCTGTATCTGCCCTTCACAGATTATGTTTGAGAGCAATGTGGTGATTCCTGACATGTTTGACGTTCCCTGCTTGTAACCTTAGATCACTATGTTAGGAAGCACTTTAGGTTACAGATTCCTGATCCAGTTCAAAAAAACATGCATTTTATGCATGGTTCTCTTCTCACTATTGTTTCTGTTGCTATGACTTCTGAGATTTTTACATATTTTAAACCAAGTTCTTAAACAAGCACAAACATCTAAAACTATCTCTTTACTAGTGTGCAATTCACAGCATGTGGAGGCTCTGTCCCAGACTCCAGGTAGCCTGACTGGAAGGCAGTGGTACACTGTCTTCTGGACCAGTCATTAAGACAAAGGGACAGCTGCTAATCATGTTTAATTTAGAAAGCAAAGCCTCCAAATTTGTCTAGTCCCCTGATCTCTTTGTGCTATAAATGATACTGGCGATGGGGACAGGGTGCATGCCCACAATAGAAGACTGTTTCCATTATCAATGTCATTGTCATCTGCTGATTCATCAAAACATAGAAATTTCTTTTCTTAAAAATAGAGCAGCTGCCCTGTTATTATAACATGTAAAGAAGTGTCCCTGGGCTCCTCCTGCCCTCCTTGCCCCATGACACTACTCGGCAGCACAAATAAACACAACTCTCACTTTCCTGGGGAGGAAAAATTCTGACAGCATTGTGTTGCTTTTATGATCTTGGCTGTGGATACATTTTCACAGAGAGACTTTCAGGTGAGCAGTAGTTGAAAATCCAGCTTTTCTGGAGAAGTGGCTCAGTCGAGATTGTGACGCGGGTCAAGATTAATGAATACAGCTGTAACCAGGCCCTTTTCCTTGATTCAGAAAACATTTATTTAAGGCAGAGCAGCTTCACAGGAGGTTAAAAACATATCTTTCAGCAGAATTTAGCAGGTGGATGATAAATTTCTCCTCTAAGTTAGATGGCATATCTGTTACTTTAAACTTACTTGCATAAAAGTTCGGGTTTTTTAAAAATTGCATCTATTCATAATTTATTATTTATAATTTTTTCAACTAAATTTATTCTAGTATTAATTTATTTTATTAGTTTAACCTTAATGTAGTTAGAGATGTGGTGCAGCTTGAATTTCAATTGAGTATAATGAGAAGTCAGAACATCCAGGATGCTTTTTCGCTCTTCATTCTTTTTGTTTCTTACCTTTTCTATTTCACATGTGTGAAGCTATGAAGTAAAATTAGGTCTGTTATACAGTGTATTGTTGATGCTGGTTTATCCCTTTTCCTTCTTTTTCTCTCTCTCTTTTCCCCACATGCTGTCATCATGGTCTTTGTATTTTCCTTCCCAGTAGTTTTGGGGAATGATTAGCCATTAGGATAAGGTGTGGGAAAAAATTCGTGCTTTTAAAACAACTAGAATATTTCATTTTAAGTGGAGCCAAAATTTCAAAATAATTTCTTATGCTGCCTAAAGCTTTACATATAAAATTCCACATGAATGATTGCTTTCACAAATTCTTTAATTTTTTTAACTGGCAAATCAAGTAAATAGATGCTGTACTTTCTGAGGTGATGCACTTGATCTAGAAAACTTCAAATATACAAAATATACTTACAAAAAGAGCCCCAGGTATACACTATCTTCTAGGCAACAGAGGAGGACCTGGCACTAATTTGCTTCTCCTTCCTGGTAGTTTGGTTAACTGATAGTAACTCTCTGCCTCCTGAGCCCAGCAGACATTAGTCCTCAAGTGCAGTTTGTGCTTCAGGAAAGCCATTCATCAGTCAGCCATGTGAATGAAATCCAACCTCAAATAATGACAGTTTCCTCCCCTCTGTCTCCCAGGGACAGTTATGTTTTTTATAACTCTTGCCGAGAAAGCTGTTTCACAATGCAAACCCAGTCTCTTTAGTGAGGGCATGAGGATTTGAATTCCTGGCCATTCACAGGAGTGAGAAATGAAGGGCTCTTGGCTGCCTGCAGCATTAGAAAGGGGGTTTTCCATAATCACCCTCTGTTGTAAAAGCAGGATTATTTGTATTTGTTTCATTTGGAAATGGGCCTTTTCACTCTGAACGAAGAACTGTTGAGCACCTTCCTGCCATCCATTTGCTTTCCCCTGCAGTGGCTCAGAGGAGAAATTAAGCCATTGGAGGAACGGGAACTTTTCAAAGGAGCATTTACGGGCCAAAGGAAAGATGACCAGATGGGCTGTCACCCAAGAAAATACAAATCAAGCCCCAAATCACACCCGAAGACTTTGCGATCCATAATGCCTGTTCAGGATTTCTGTTTATTTTTCAAAGAGGGGGATCATTTATGGCTTGGCTTAAGAATTTCAATTTATGTTTCTGGCTGTCGGGGGATGCTGGCAAAAGATAAAACATCATCAGCTCATTTTCCATCAGTAGCGCTCTGTCATTCCATTAGGGCAGGAAATAGCTTGCTCTGTGACTGAGTGAATTTGACTTTAGCATGGATCAGAGAGAGGACCCCTAGAGTTAAACACATCTCCCCATGCCAGCTGTTCAGCATAAGACAGCAACGGTGTGCAGCCAAATGGCCACCCTCAGGATCCGACATGTGTTGGCATCACATGACTTGCAAAAGCCAGCGGTGGGAGCCCTTCCAAGGGAAGTGAGGTGTTGGGCTGGTGGCGAGGATGGAGGAGGTTAAAGGAGGTTCCGGTGAGAGAAAGCTTTTCTTTGGTGCTTGCTAAACAGTAAAATAAAGACTGAAATATTTTGCTGTGGTGAGCCATAATTGTAGCTACTCAGATTCCACCACAGAGAGGTACAATATCAGATCCCTGATAGATGATACTAGTTTAATTGGGTTTTTCATTTGAGAAGGGGTTCAGAGCTGCTTTCCAGATACCACTGAGTGATATCCACAAGAAGTCCTGCCAAAAAGGGAGTCATTTATCCTCTCATTTTACAGTCTGAGCAACTAAGAAGACATAGCTATAGGCTAAGAATTTCCAGCATTAAGTCTTGACTTTTTCAAAAGACACACATGGGACTTGTGAGCCTGAGTGATATACGCAAAGGGCACTGCAGAGTCTTGCTTCACATGACAAGGTTGCAGTGGTGCTGACTGTAAATCTGCAACCCTAATTTTCTGATACACCTCTTTTTAAAAGATTTTATCTGACTTTGAGAACCATAATTTTTTGTGTATATTCTACTTATTGTCTCTCACCTTAATTTGCAGTCTCTCACAGCAACTTCAGTTCTAGTTGACTGCAAGCTCTAGTATTTTCAAGCTGCATATGGGGGCGGGGGGAAATCTAGGCTTTGTGTGTTTCAGATTACTTGTTAAAAAAAAGGGATGGAGATTTTCATGATGCTCCAGCTTTTTGCAGTAAATGTTCCTATTTAGTAAGGGAAAAGTGAATAGGGAACACAAGTATCTTAAAACAGGTGATGTACTTTGCATGGGGAAGAAAAGTCAAACTTGTCTATACATAAAATGTAATTCAGGGTACTTGCAGGCTTTCTAGTCACTTGAAGAAGATTTTATGCTTTGAAACCTGACACATAAGTCTGGTTTGGTTTTTTCCCCCTCCACCCCAAATCCCTCCAGTTGTGTCACTCTAATAAAAGATATTGCCTCTCCCTACAAACTTTGCCTCACACATCCATACATCACCACAGCAGATTGCTGCTCTAAATTAGGTACAGTTTTCTGCGGGCATACTGGCAACTGTGATTTTTGGGGGGTAATCTGAGAACCCTAGTTTAGCCAGTGTGGCAAAGTGATATGCTGCTGCCAGTCCACATGAGCAGCCTCATCTGGATTCAGTTTTGTAGCTGAGGCACTGCTTTCCTAGTGAGAGGTCAGCAGGCACCTCTGCATGTGTTGATGGGATAGTTGTTTTTCATAATTCCTGACCTGTCTCTTAGCTTCCACGCAGCTCAGGCTTTCCTAATTGCCACCTTCTTTTGTGAACAGATGCAGACTCTGTATGCTTTTGATGAAGAAGAAACAGAAATGAAAAATAAAATAGTTGAAGACTTGAAGACAGCTCTGCGGACTCAGCCCATGAGGTAATGTTGTTTGCTTTTCATCACAATTCACTGCCTCCCAACGATCAGATGTGACACTGCCAAGAGTGGCAAGGACAGAAACCTCATTGTCCCACCTCACACAACCCTCTCTGAAATTTCAGACAATCCTCAGAGTGCGCTACAGTCCCCAGTCTGAGCCTGCCCAGTTAGGAGGCTACTAAAACATGTAGTTTCAGAAAAATAAAAGACAAAGTCTACTGTGAAAATTCTATGGCAGATATTTGCAAACACAGGTAATGACTGTGAAGATCAGATTTTAGTCTTCATAGCCCCCTGCACATCCCATGTAATTTGATTCACTTTGGGCAAAGTCTCAGCCTCTACTCTGAACTTTGAATTCAAGCTTCCCCTTATCTTTAGTAATGTGAACTGTTTAGTACAAAGCAGCTAATCCATCTGACATCACCTGGTTTGGCATTCTTCCCATTCTGTGTTGTATCTGTGGCATAGAAAAATGTAAAGAGACTTTATTGTGTACTATCTTTGAAGGTAAGGTCATCTTTCTTTTTCTGGGAACAAAGCTCTAAACAATAACAAACTAACTAGCACAGAAACCTTTTGAATTTAACACTTGGAAGAGCAGTGTGGAGAAACAATAACTTTAGTTGATATGATTTCAGGAAACACTCAATCAAAAAATTCTGAATTATTTTTATATGGGCCAAATACTTTTGCACCCACGCCATAAAGTCATAGTTTCAGAGAGCTTCAGTAACCAAATACAGTTCTCTTTTGGGGAGGGGATCCTAACCAAACAAATGAAATAAATGAGTAAAAACAATCCAGAAAATAATCCCAAAGAATTTTCATTGCAGTTACTTTGACTTGAAGTGAAGATTTTTTTGGGACTTCTTGCAGAGCTAAGTGCTGATTGTGCTTTTCCCTTTCATAATCTTAAAAAAAAATTGACTGGTTTTTACCTCCTGTTTATTTCCTGTTTTGATGGGCATTAAGGGAGCACAAAATCATTCTGGTGCTCCTCAAGCATAAAGATTTATCAGGCTTTGGAATTTTACATGTGGGTAGAGTGAATGCTTTTAATGTGGAAGCAGAGAAGTTGTAGCCTTTACTGAGACCTAAGTCAAGAGTGACTGTTTGAGGCTCCCTATCACTGTCCTGAAGCAGAGAACACAGAAAAATGCAGCTGGACTCTATGTTAAAATGGAAGCTAAGGCAACTGTCAAGCTTACAACTCTCTCCAGGCTTTTAAACCAAAGTCATGTGCTGTTGAGACTTGATATAGCAAAATTATTGCATTGACGTGGAGCTGGTTTGATGATTGCTCTGTGAGGGTGACAGCTTTCATTGAATGTAGCCACAGCAGCAGGGCCTCTTTGCTTTGTCCAGCCGAGGCTCTTTGGTGGCCACTATTGGTTGTTCTGCTGTGTCATTTTGAATAGACAGCCAAAATCCTTGTTGAGGACAAAGCAGTAGAGAAGAAGAAAGAACAATGAGCATTTGAGCAAATTCTTTTGCTCAAAGCCTTGCAAGATTTTTCTTCTCCAACCTGTATTGCATCTGCTGGGTCCCCTTGACAACAGCCTGTTGCTTCATCTGTTTGTAATAACCCTGAAAAGCACAAGCATCTATGGGCTGCCCTATAAAGTCTTCTCAATAACTGGCGATGGTTGTGGGGCTTTTTTTTTTTTTTTTTAAAAATACAGTTAAACCAAGCCAAATTTTGAGTTAAGTCCTGTGTCTCAACTAATTTCCAGCGACTCAATTCGATAGCTGCCAAATGGGCTGCATGCCAGTGCCTGATCAACAAGCCAATTTCTTCTTGATGGAAAGGTTGCAGTAGAGAGGCCCTCAGCTCCATCAAATCCCTCTCATAAGCAGTATGATACCTCAGCCTTCAAAATACTAGTCTTTCTAGTTTAATTTGGATATCAAATCGTGTTTTCTTTGCCACTTCTATTCATCAGGCCTCTGAAGAAAAAAGACCTAAATTCACACAGGATGAACTGTCTGGAATCCCTTTGTGATAGCAGGTTACACAGGGGCTCTGACAGCTTACCAATAGGCTCCTCTGCTTGAATTCTCTGATCCAGAGGGATCAAAAGAAGAAAAATGCATGCATTTGGCTCTCTGTTTTATTTTACTGTAAACTGTGTCTCTTCTAGTAGATAATGCAGAGTAATTACCAAGCTCTGTCTCTATTCCAACTCACCAGTTCTAACAGTAAAAAGTAAAGCAGACTATCCAAACTCAAGTTCCTATCCTCTTTGTAGAAAATGGGATAGGAGTATCCTTGGGGCAGTTTGTGGTCCCCTTTGAGCAAGTGCACCTTGTTTGGTATCTAGGAGCTGCCCAAAAATAATAAAGCCAGGTTATGTCCTAGTGGTAAGGAACAATCCCAGCCACAGAGAACAGAAATGCCACATCTGCATCTTGTAAAGAAACACATTTTCTCTCAGGTTTGTAAAAACTCAGAACTATAAGCAATTGTGATGACAAACTGTTGGACAGAAGCAGTGGGAGAAGAGCTTTTCATTTGGTATTTGAGTGCCCCAAAATGGAGGTTCAGAAGTGAGCAAAAGCAAAAACTTAAAAGGGACTGGGAAAAAAATTGCTTTTTGGAGCCCTTGAAAAATACCTCCTTTAGTCTGAGTCATCACTGATTCATTTTACTGTCTGCATTTCTCCTTTTGTTGTATTCAGATTTACCTCCTGCCATTTTTTGTTTGATTTAGCAGTGTTGCATCCAGGTGCATACTGAAGAGGATCATTTATGCAACCAGCAAGCAAAATCCATGATGCTGAATTTTTCAGCAGTTCAGTAGTTATTAGGATTGATTATGTGTGCCCCCTGGTTCAAAAACTAATGCTGCAGGGAAGTGTAGCCTTGCCTGTTAACAGGGTGGGGGCATCCTGCTGTCTGCACACCCACAGCATACAATCTTTCTGTCTCTCCTGAGCTGGATCAAGTCTTACAGGGAAGCTGTACCCCCAACACTTGGAATCCATCAGTGGGTCAGTTCCTCTTTGGCCATCACATCTGTATTTGGATGAAAGGTTTATTGTTAGAGCTAACTCATTCTGATCTGCACTCTCTAAAACTTGAAAGGCAAAAAGGTGCCCTGCCTTTTAAAGTGTGCTAAACTGGTCAAGTGAGAGTCTGAGGTGAGGTTAGTCTTTAATTTGCTTGTTTAGCACCTACTAAAACACACTCTGCTTTATTTACATTTCAGTATTTGAATGTGTTAGCCAGAATGCATTGGCAAGTATGTTTAACTTTACACCTCCCAGTCTAGAACAAGACCTTACTTTGCAGCACAGAGCCTGTGTAGGACAGGAGTTAGTTACACATGTGCTGTGTACGAGAAGGTTCTTGACTTATATAAGTTGACTTGGCTGTTGCACATACACACAGATACCTGCACAGAGGCAGACAGATGCACAAACGCCAACAGTGTGAGGATTGTGACTCTCGGGCTGTTGGCTAAACTCCCTCCTTCTTTTTCTACCTTCCACACACATTTGCTCCACACCTCCCCACACCGAACAAATCCTCATACTGAGAGTGTCTGTTGGGCCAGGAACTGCTTTTGCCATTTATTTACCTCCCCCAGCATGGTTTCTAGCTTTTCTGGAGAATAAGGAACAAAGTGTTTAGAAAAAGGAAGATGAAAATTATAATTTGATTCCTGCTCCTGATTGCAGCTGAAATAGAAGGGTGCTTTCTTGCTGTTGAGTAACACAACTCACTGTTTGCTCTCTGGGCTAGGAATAGTACAGGAAAGTCCCAACATTGTTTTAAATTATGTCATTAATCAAGTTTTGTGACACACACTGCTTTCCAGCGCATGCCTTCTTTTTGCAATGACCTCATCCTAAGAGTCCTAGAAAAATTGCACTGCCAGTGAATTTAGTGAGAGTTTGTACTTAACTGGGACAATGTGACTTTTGTGCATTTACCTTTTTATTCGCATAGTCATCAGAGCATGCAAAGATACATGAAAATTGTAGTGCCTTGCTTGTCTTGTCATAAGATCGTGTGTCCAATCCCAAAGCGCATTTAGGGGACCCTTTGTTCTGCTGCTTCTTATGATGTTTCCATCAGTATTGCTCTGTAACTTCAGAAACATATTCATCTTAAGTCTTTCCTCAGCCCTGGAAGTTCAAAAAACAGGAAAAAAAAAATAGTGTCTTTCCCCCAACCCCCAAAAGACAGAGGGAACAGATAAAGTATAGAATGGAACTTTGAAGGTAAGGAGGAGAATTTAAAGTAGCCCCTCTATAACTCCACTCTTTATAGGTCCAGGGAATTGATCAGAACTCATTTGCATCATTGTTTAGTAACATGCTGAGTTTGTGCTTATTTTTTTCCAAATAAATCCTTTGCAGCAACTCTTCTAGCTATGAGTGCACTTGTTTCAGTCTTTGTCAAGGTAGCAGCTAAATGCATTGTAGAAACTTAACTAAATCTGAATCTTTCTGTAATCAGTTTGAATAACAAACTGCTTTGGCTGACTTCCTGGTGCACAGTGTTGATGCTGCTCTCGAGCCTGGTGAGAGTGAGTCTTTTACTCCTATGATTTGTTAGGATAGACAAAATGATGCATGCACAGAATGTGCAAGCAGAGCTTGCAAAGTTGGCAGATTGTCTTAGCAGGGTTCAGTTAAATCATGTTTTCATTTTTGGTGTGCACATGTTCCTGTGTATGCCCTTACTCTGATAGTCACTTGGAAATTCAGCCTTTAACGAAACCCAAACATTAGACCAAACCTTTGTTGAATGAAACAGGCTTTTCCATATTTCTGGTCAAATTGCTGGCTCACGTAAACTGAAAGTTGGCAAATCTATCAGCATAGTGAGTGTAGCTTTCAGATAGACTCTGAAAATTCCTTTATGGTGTAGAGTGTAACCATCAAAAGACCATACATGTGTCAAATCCATATTATCCAGAGAAATATAAGTATGGCTTGGGTTTCTCTTGCTGGTACAGGGACATGAATGGAGACCACTGAAATTTGGTCATTCAGTATGGTGCTTCTATTATTACTGATTATAAGTAACAGCATCTCATGGACAGAAAAAGAAAGATGTTACATTAGGTAAGAAGAGGGACTGGGTAAAAGTGCAATGACAGAATTTCGGTACTTTTAATTTGTTACACAGTTGGCAATTGTTAGAATTGTGGCAATTGTTAGTGGGAATTGTTGTTCAATTGCTTGAAGTGTCTTTCTATATTATGCTGTTCAAAGTGTGGCCATGGACAAATCATTGCTGGTATACCTTTTTATGACTGAAAATTCAAGTGTGATGTACATGGCTTTGCATTCAGATATTCCAAAAACTGTACCTACCTGAGCAACATGTTAGAGGAGGCAAACAATGTGATCTAGGGAAATTATTTGCAGCCCTTTCCATGTCTTTGAATCCCCATTTTTAATCCTGGGAACTTCAAGCAAAACATTGCTAGAATGATTGGTTTGATCTAACTTATCAAATTCCATCCTTTTCTAGTGATTTGTTCTGAGGGCTGTTTGGATGGTCTAAATTGACCCATCTGGATTTTTTAACCCTTGTTTTCAACAAAAGCGGAGGAGCTTTTACCATTTACAGAAGCACATGCCCCTTTTAAATATAACATGTTCCTACATATATGTCATGGGATTGGAGTGTGAAGGCAGTATGGCTCATGCACAGAGTGGGAATGAGTTCCCCTTTGTCAGTGTGCCCAAATCCCGGAGGTGGAACCTCTAAATAGTATTGGCTGAAAGTTAGAGCTAAGCCTAAAAATGGTTTTCAAGGTAATCTGAACTCATAACTAAAAGTGTGGTGACAAGTCTGTGTGTTGGGTGTATTAGCACGTATGTAAGATGGAACAATTCAAAAGAATTCCTTCGGCCTTGAAAATGCAGCAGTAGTTGAGGTGAACCACAGCAGTGTTTGGTGGTAACTGCAACAAAGAACACAGAGACCAAACAGAAGTGTAAGATGATAGCATATAATTACCCTGAAACTATGTAACACACCATTATTAGCTGGAATGTTTTCTCTCTTGGTTTGTTTGCTTTGTTTTTCTTAAATACCTGGGAATTGTTCTGTGAATTTAGGCTGAAAACTAGCCAGCTTATAAGGACCTGTGGTTGAATAATGTGGTGTCTTTTGAATAAAGTGCCTTTGGTCTGCTTTCCTTGTTTTTCCTACTTGTTTTTTTGGTTTTTCTCTTTTCAGGTTTGTGACCAGGTTTATTGAGCTGGATGGCCTGAGCTGTTTGCTGAACTTCCTGAAGAGCATGGACTATGAGACCTCGGAGAGCCGCATCCACACATCCGTTATAGGGTGTATCAAGGCACTGATGAACAACTCCCAAGGACGGGCTCATGTCCTGGCCCATCCTGAAAGTATCAACATCATATCCCAGAGCTTACGGACTGAGAACATAAAGACCAAGATTGCTGTGCTGGAGATCCTAGGAGCTGTCTGCTTGGTACCAGATGGTCACAAAAAAGTCTTGCAAGCCATGCTTCACTACCAAGTCTATGCTGCAGAAAGGACAAGATTCCAGGTAAAAAGAGGATTCCTTGACAGAAATACCCACAATGAGGAATCTCTGCCAGGAGTGATTTTTGAGTGTATATATTGCAAATTTGCTAAGTAGTAAAAAGGCAATATTTATAATTTTTCTTTAGGAAGGAAAATCCCTCAAATAGGTTCTTATTGTATGTGTATATTTATAGACATATTGCTTGTCATTAATAATAACTTAAAATTGCGTATATTTTGCCTGAAAATGGAGGTTTGCTTTGCTAAATGAAAGCTGATTATCTGCTCATACTCCAGCTTGATGGCATTTCTAGGATGGTAATGCTTTTTTTTGTCCTAGAAGCTGAAGCCACAGAATTTCAGGAGTCTCTGTCCTGATTTTAAATCCTTAATTTAGTAATGAAAGAATTGTGGATTAAATAATGGAGATGAAGAATTACATTATGTATAGTGGAGGCACTTCACTTGCCTCTTAGTAATCAACTTGTGAATCGTCATCACTTAACAATTGTTGGCTCAAAAAATTCCCATTCAGACCACAGAAGAGAAATGCATTCTCAGAGACCTTGAAGTAGGTCAGTGACAGGCTTTTATTGTGGGAACTACTGGCTGCTACTATAATGTTCCTCTTCCTAGTGAACTGAGCACCTTTACCAAAAGACAGTGGAGAATCTGTTGTGGTGTGTGAACTGTGGCTCCTTAACTTTGGGATAATCTAAGCCATTTACTGTCCTTCCTTAGATAAAATCATTGGAGTTGTGTTGTGCCAACAGGCGCGGGATCCCAATGCCTGACAGTCATTATCTCCTACCTCCTTCTTAGCTAATGGATTTTAGGCCAATAAAATAGTGAATGGGGAAACATTCTGTGCTGATGGACAATAGCTGCTAATGTTTGTGTTAGAACCAAATACCCTATGGGATTCAGTGACTGTGACTCAGACCTGGGACAGGGATGCAGGAGATCTTGATTTGGTATTAACCTGTATTTGGCATTGTCAGGTCCATCTCTTGATGTGCACTGCCTCATTTGCATTGCTTGTCTATTCAGACTTGATGTATGTCTTCGATATTCAAGTGTGACACATATGATGTATGGCTCCAGAACTGGGGGCTTTTCAGCCTCAGTTGGAAGCTCTTGAGGCTACTTTAATAGAGAAAAATCATAATTACAGTAAAACTTGGAAAGTGAAGAGATTACAGCTGCAGTCATAAGAATGTGTCACCATTCTTTAGTACAGGAGGAGGATAGGAATGAGCGATTCAGGTGCAGGAAGTAAGCCATGTACATGAGCTATGATGTGGAGATTATTGGGTACTGCCTATGGAGGAGAAGGAAAACATTTAAGTCAGTTTGTTCTCTAGTAATTAGCCAAAATAAAGAAACCTTCCTGAATTAATATGACATTCTTTTATACCTGGGAGACAGGTGGGGATAACTTGAGCTGCTTTAGAAAATGCAGTAACTCCTAAGCCTGACTGCACTTGTGGTCCCATGTTAACTTGCCCTTACTGGACCAATTGACTCTGCTTAATAAGCCTGTATGGGACAGATGCTGAGTTTACCCTAGTCAAGTGTTCTCTCTCTCTCTGTTTCTGTGTTGATTTAAAAGTTACTGAATAACTGAGGTAAGTCACTGGTAGGTAAAATGTGGTAGCTTTTGAGGAATCTGGTGGAATGATTTGCAGGTGCTTACCAGTCTCTTACACTCGTGAAAAATACTTTGCCTAAATGCTGCGCTTGTCAAAATACTTTTCCATTTCAGGAAGAAATTAAGGATAAATGTATACTCTCTTTTATTTCTCAAGTAAAACAAAACAAAAAAACAAAAAACCCAAAAGAAAAAAAAGCCCCACCCAGCCCCCAAAATGATTTAGCAGAAGGAATGTGTTCTTGTTTGCAATTACTAATACTTGTGTTTAGAGACTGAAATGGGATTTTCTGCTGTACTCACCAATAGCTTGAATTTAATTTTGAGGCAAGTGTTCATCCAAAGACATTCGTCATCCATCTCCAGTTATTCTTCTAACAGAGAGACTGGGGATTTTTTAAATCCTGAGGAAAAAAATGTGGTCATGGTCTTTCTTACATTTTAGAGGAAGTTTCTCTGATACTCTAGGTCATAAAATTAGGAGTGTTCCATCTCTTTGCCTCTTGCCCTCCTGTACCTCTGTCTCAGAATAGTTTTGCTGCTTATTGTCAGGAAAAGCATCCACTGTAACTTTAATATGGGAAGCCATTTTAAAAGAAGGATGAGCTGAAAGTGCTTGTTCTTTACCTTTCCTGTAAGCTTCAAAGATTACAGATTACTGCATTCAAAGATGTAGTGTACAATGAAAGCCTTTGTCTATCCTCTTTTAATCCTAATCCTGAATGTAATCTTTATAACCCAGAGTTGGCAAGTATCTGAAGAGATCCTTTCGGTGTGAAACAGAATCCTTTGGGGGCTGTATTTCCTGCAGCTTGAGCATCTAGCAGCATCATTTGGTGTATTGAAGTGTCCAGAAAGTGTGGAGCTTGCAGCAAACTTTATACTTTGCAGCTTGACTTTGCCCAGCCACACCTAAACACTGCTGTGTTGAAAATTATCCACCACAAGTGGCAAATCTTGCAGAACCCACAATCAAGAATTCTTTCTGTGAAAGTAATAAAACTGTGGACTAAACTGTAGGAACAGGAGAAACTATTTGGAGTAGAAATTTATTCCTTTACCTCTGTGGTCCATCCTTGCAGACTGATTCTAATTGGTGGGGGGAAGGAAAGCTGGGAACTGTAAAGGCACTGCTGTCTTTATATCTAGTTCTGCAAGACAGTAGCCAAATTAGAGACACAATGTGTAAGAGGGAAGTAATGTCAAATTTTGGAAATCAACTCAGTTCTTGGGAAGTGAAAGTGCAGGGCTTTCTGAAAATTGTACTGAGCTCACTTTTATTGGAATGGCCAACAAATAACTTACAGGTGAGGCTGATCTCTGACAATATCAGTGCTAGTGTTGCTTTTCCTTAAGTTGCCTTCCTGACAGCAGTGGTTGAAAATATTTGTCGTCCCATTTAGCCATCTTACTGTCAATTTATTCCTTCTCATCTGTGAAAGCTGGCATTTTGTATTCTATCTGTTTGGCTTTATTTTCAGCTCTTGCAGGTAGCAGTAAACATAGGTGTCCCATTCTCCCTCATGTCACTTATGGTGACCAGCACTATGTCTGTTGGGGATTCAGGAGGTTAATGTAATTAACACTAATACAGATCTACTTTTCCCCAAAATAATTTTTTTTCCTTTTGAAGAGGCATATCATTGTGAGGAGTAATAACTTGGGGTACATGGTTCTGCTTCCTCTCCTTCTTGTAAGAAGAAGGAAGAGAGGTTCAGAATGATTTACTGACAACTATCTAAAACTTGAGCTCCTGAATAATTTGCTGCTGACAACTTCAGATTGAAACAGTGATTATTTCCAGTGTGCACAAGTGTGGTGGAGTGTAGAGATCATGTGTTTCACACAGCAACAGAAAACATGGCACATTTTGTTGAATGTGAGAAGTTCTTGCTGGTCAATGTTCTAAACACAACTCCTGCTACCTGGTACAGTTGCCAAAAGTTGTCAGAAGACTCAGCAACTGGTGAATTAGTGGAAAAAGAAAGCTGTGACTTAAGCTGTGTATGGCTCTTACTAGACTTACATTAACTCTGTCCTGCAATAGCTCCTATTACTTGAATAGAAAACGTATAGTTTTATGCTAGGGTATCTGAAGTCAAAATTCAAATGACAGTGAAATTCTTGAGCATTATAAATAATTTTAGTCCCAATTAACTTAACTGTATTGCACTCAGTAATATCAACTGAAGACCATTAATCAAACAGTACTGAAATGCTTCATAAAGGGTATCTTTGCTTCCTGATGTGTTCTCTCTTTTTAAATTTTTTTATGAAGTGAATGGAAAATATAAATAGAACTTAGAGGAATATGAAGGACTATTTCCTTATTAAAAAAAAAAATCAGAGTTTACTCTGAATTGAAACTGATGTAAAATACTATTTCTTTCTAAATTGCCAGCATTTAATCTATTGACTACAAATGTCAGTCCCTAACCTCAGTCAGAATTCACTTTAAAGACCTGGGGAGATTCACCACAATTTACTCTTTTTTGTTGAGGCTCCAGTCTTCACTCAATTGCCTTTTCATACTGCAACTTCACCCTGTGTCTTTGATATTCAATGTGTTAATAAGTCTATCAGAATCATCCTTATCTTGGCACTTGCAACAAGATTCTATACTTTATGTTTGTGTCTCAATTTATATAGTCACTATTCCTATTTTCTCATATTTTCCATGTCTTCTTGCCCGAACTCTTCCCTTTGCCTGCTTTAATTATTGATCCTTCTTTTATAATGCCCTTCTGCCTGGAATGATTCTCACTTTAATGTCCAACAGGGATATTCCTTGAAAATTGTCCTCTTCAGAGTAATGCTCTTTCTGTACTCAAATATGACAGTAGTATTAGGGGATGCCTTCAATCTCCTTCCTGAGGCAATCTGGAAAACTCTGTCTTCATCCAATTTGAAACATGCATGTTTGAAACATGCTACTTTGCCTACAAATCTACTCTGCCCCTTAAAGAACAGAGATGAAAGAAAACACTTGAAATCCAAACAGTAAATCCTCAGAGCAGAAATGTGGAATCAGGAAGATGAGCTCTTGTCCTTGCTGGGATTTTTTTCCATGTGTTCAGTGTAATTCTGTTCCTGGCTCACTGTGTGATCATAAAAACATTACTTTGTCTTTTTTTTTTTTTTCATTGTGAAGATGGAGTTTTATAAAATGCTATGAAAACTGAGAAAGAAGAGTCCCTGATTTTAAAGTCATTAATGTCTAAATTATCCTATTTATGACTGGTTTCCCTTGTGAAAGGGGCACAGTCTTTCTCTCCCCTAAGCTGTTGCCTTTATTGTTATGATTTCTGCTTCCTCTCCTTTTCTCTGTCATGACATTGTATCACATTATACTTTTTAGCATGCTGTCTTTTGAGACAAAACTAATATTGCAAAGTCATAATGCTCTCTTGGCCCAAAAAAGTTTATCAGGATGTTCTAGTGCGCTTCTAGCACAGCTTGCTATTGAAAACACTGCTCTAGCTGTGGATCCCTGTGGGGAGAAAGAATTTTCCTTTTAGTCTTGAGAGAACCTCGGTGTTAGATGCTATCTGAAAGAAGCTGATTTTAATTCCCAGTGGAAATATTAACTGGGCTGCTTTGGGCAGAAAGCTCTTGTTTTCCTTCTTAATGCTGCTAGAAATGTTGAAGCTTGAGGTGAATGAATAAAGAAAGTTGGATATTGTCAGTTAAAAAGGTGGAGGCCAGGAGCATTCCTTCCAGAGCCCCCTTGCCTGGTTTTTGTCAAACACTGTCAGTACAGTCCATAATTTGTAAGGAGAAAGCTGATCAATTTGGAATTGTAGTAGAGGATCTAACAAGGAACAAATTAAAAGGCTGTATTCACCCTTGATTTCCTTCTTCCCTTTAGGGCTCAACCAAAGTCTTTTGAGGTTTGCTGCAGATTGAAAGAAACCCTACTGGTTGTCAGTGATGAGGAATAATGGGATTAAGTGAGGAAAGTTTTGCTTAAATACTAGGAAAAACCTTTATAACTCTAAGATCAATTGGGCCACAGAACTGGCTGCCAAGAGGTGTGGTGAAATCTTTTTCACAGGAAATGTTCAAGTGAAGATTTGAACCTCAGCCATTTGCAAAGAGTTGGAGATATTGGAGTTTGGCCACAGTATGTCGGTGTAGACTCTGATTTTTAGGAATTGCAAGAACTTACAGTGTTTCCTTCTCAAGCTGAACAATTACATGAAGATGTGCTTCTCTTCAGTTGGATTAGTGCAACACAGAGTTTTGGGTTTTTTGCCCTGAATTTGGTTTGCCTCCCATTGCATTCTGCTCCTAGTTCAGTGTTCTGAAATGGGGGATAGAAAACTTTTGTTAGCATGTTTCAACCTGTCTGGATGCTGTACCTGATATGCTGTTTCATAGATTCTAGCATGTTCCTACAAGTCTGTGGGAAAGTATGATAGGAATGAAGCCTCTGAAGAAAACCAGCAAAACCATCCTTGGTTTTGCTGCTTCTGTAGTGATGGCTAATTCAATTATTCCAAGAAGGCACATGTGTTTTGGATTTCAGTGTCAAATGTGGCAGTAACAGAATAAAATTCTCTCATTTATTTCACTTCTGCTTGTTTGTCAAGTTGAGCAGTTGGTTTTGTTGGTGAATTTAAAGACTCCTCAGATAATTTCTGATTGTCACTGTTAGAGATAGGATGGTGGATTGAGCTGACCACTAGTGTAGCTCAGTAGGGCATTTAATGTGCTTTTGTGTAAGACTCGTTCTCATTTATAGCAAAATATTATTTGGTCGTAACACAGTTACTGGGGTGTTGGATAAGATTGAAACTCAAATGCCTGGAGTAGGGAAATTTGAAAATTCCAGATAGGAAATTTAGAACCAGTAAGAGAAAAGAGTTTATGAAATCAATCTTGTTTGATAGTGAACATACCATGCTCAGATGTGAAAACAGCTCTCAGTAGCAGTGTATGATAGGTCAAAATATTTTTGCACAAAAATAAGCATGAAGCCAGGAGGTTATTCTTTCTCCTGAAAAATATACACGAGGATATTCCTCCTATTTCTTGAGACATATCTCTGTGGCTTTCTATAGGAAACAAGATAGACCTATGGTGAGTAGCAGAGGAAAGATTTTGCTAAGACTGAACACTTTCAGTAACCAGGGACAAAAGACTGACTAGAGGAAAATGAACTTCCTTACTCAGCATTATAGCTTCAAAATGTTGTTTAGATGGTCTGCTGAGCCAAAAACAAAAAAGTTATTTTTGTCTTTGTTATCCCTTTATGGCCAAAACTTCTTAGGGAGACTAAAAAGAATTCTCTCTTTTTTAGTGTGATAGCAAAACAAATACATGAGTGTAAGGCATTTTTTATTTATGCTGGAGTGAGACTCATACAGCTGAACTCACAGATCGCAAGTGGAATTTGTTACTCTTTCAGTAAGGAAAATCATCCTTGGAATTATGAACTGATCATAGAAGATTCAGAAGAGACTATGAATGGTGATCAGCACAAAGCTCAAAGTAGAGTAGCTTTCATGGCTAATCAGTTTCTGCATATAACCTCTTTGGTAAATATTCAAGCGGAATTAATCCTGAATAAGGCAAAGGCCACCAGTATTACTTATCTAGTCTTTTTCTCCTTTGTCTCCTGATGTTCACAAGATTATGGTAAAATATCAGTATGTATGCAGAAATTAGACCAAAAGCATTCCTGTGCTGAACACCCCCTGTGGGTTGGTAACAGGGGGATATGCAGCCTCCAGGGAGAACTTCCAGCAGCCTTTCAATAAACAGAGCTTAAAAGAAAGATGGAGAAAGGCATTTTACCAGGGCGTGTGGTGACAGGACAAGGGCTAAAGGGTTTAAACTATAAAAAGCTAGAGATGAAATGGGTAAAAGGAAGAGGGTGCTTTTATGATGAGGGTGAAAAGGCAGTGGAACAGGTTGGCCAGAGATGTTTTAGATGCCTCATCCCTGGAAGTGTTTGAGGCCAAGCTAGATGGGGTTTTGAGGAGCCTGGTCTGGCAGAAAGATGTTCCTGCCTGTGGCAGGGGGGTCAGGACTAGATGATCTTTAAATGGCATTTTAAACCCGAAACATTCAATGAGTCTGTAACATGGAAACTGGAGCTTATCTGCACTTCCAGTGGAGGTGTGTAATTCAACCTTGAGCTTTGGAGCTGTATGCACAGGGGATATTCCTGTTAGATGAAAATCCCTAAAAGGAGCTTACCAAGAGGTGATAATTGTCTGCTTCATGTTAAAGGGTGGTAAGTGAAGGAACAAGGATAAATCTTTCAAGGTTCAGGCATAGGCTTCATTCCTCAAAAGACAGCTTCTCTTTACAATTATCTCCCCCTGTATGCAGAAGTGCAATCTATCCTGCAAGAAATTAGCTTATGTCTTCTAACCCAGCTTGCTGTTCTGTTTCAGTCATTGTTAAATGAGCTAGACCGAAGCATGGGGCGATACCGAGATGAAGTAAACCTCAAAACAGCCATCATGTCCTTTATCAATGCTGTTCTGAATGCAGGTGCTGGTGAGGTGAGTCACTGCCCTGGAAATTCTTTCTGAAATGTTATGTTTAAATTAGTTTACCTTGGAAATAGTTAGCAGATTGAGTCACAAATCTTGTGGTAGCGAGTGGATATATTTTGTGGAAAATAATGCTTAATTGTTAAGATCAGTCTTATAATATCTTCCATATTATTTCATTTCGAGCTTCTTCAATATAACATAGACTACTTACACTGAAGAGATTACTTTGGGTTGTTTGTTTGTTGGTTGGTTTGTGGAGTTTCTTTTTTTTAATTTTTTTTTATTTGTTTTAAGAACTGCAAAGCATTTACCTTTTTATTCCAGCCTTTTTAGAAAATACTTTGGTTTACCTTCAGAAATGTTTAGAAATGTTAAGTTGTTTTGAAGCAAAGCCAAAGTCAAAGCATTTTAATTTTAAAATATCAAAGGGAAACATTTCAGGAAAAAGCCCAGTTGTTTTACTTTTATTAACAAGATTTCCTTTTGAATCTGAAGGATAGTTTAGACTAATTTATTTCATTAGAAGTGTTGCTTTTGTGACATTGGTTTTTTTTTTTCTTTTTTTGGAAAAACCACAAAAGACAAGCTCATGAGAGCTATCTGACAATGTATTTGTCTCTGTCTCTGGGAATCCTGTAACATCCCACTGAATAGATGACAGAAGGTTTGTCAGAGTTATGTGGTTTTATGTATATGGTTTCATGACAAATAAACAGAAAAAAGTAGGAGGAAGACTGCTATGCTGTTCATCTGTAGCCAGGAGGGGAACCTCTAATTGACTAGCAGGGAAAATGCCGGTAGCTTCTGTTCCTTATGGAACAACATGCTGTCCTTATGACTGCATAGGCAAAATTCATAGTACATAAATGTACTTTTAAGTGAAATGGAGGGAAAAGGCATTAATTCCTTTTTTACTTACTTTACTGGAATTATTCATCCTGTGAATTTGGTGTCAGGAGAGAATATTAAAAAGGGAAGAAATGAAGTTTTAAGTAAATGTTTTTAAAATGTGATTGACAGCTTTTGAAAGCAAATAACTTGGCTTTCCCTCATTTTTAAGGACAATTTGGAGTTCCGATTGCATCTCCGATATGAGTTTCTAATGCTGGGAATTCAACCTGTCATTGACAAGCTCAGAGGACATGAGAATGCCACACTGGACAGGTAAGACTTATTTTCTGAGAACAGCTAGATGAACAGAGACTTCTTAGAAATTCTTTTCTATTTGAGACAGCTGATTCTGTCTCTTCTTGAAACTGACTCCCTAAAAAAACCAAAAATAAAATTAAAAAATACATTTTTCCTGAAATTAACATTAGCAGCTGAAGTAGGAAATGTACATACTAAGTTGGCAGAGGCTGTGGCAAAGGAGTTCCTCAATTGCTTTTCTTCTCAGTGGGGAATGGCAGTCTGAATGAAAAATACAAAAAATATTCTAATTGTTTTGTCTTGAAGCAAAACTGAAACAAAAGCCTGTCCTGGCAGGAGGCAGGGAAGCCAGTAGTTCATTGACTTCACTGTGACTGAGTATGTGTGGTCTAAGTGCAGGTTCTGAGTTTCCAAGTTGGATGACTACAGTTTGCTGCAGAGCTGAAACCAGGAATGATGCTTTTGATCTGCAACATTATAAGCATGAATAAGAAAATCTGTCCTATAGATGATATGTATTCCTTTGGACAGTAACCAGGAGTGTTTAGGAGGGACTTAGCTGGATTTTACCAGTTCGGAGAATAACAAAGTTTTGAGAGGATCTCAGATGCCTGGATTACAAAGACTCTTGTACCAGATCTGTACAGGGGAATGTGCCACAGCCTTTCTCAACATCATCTGCTGTGCTCCAGTCTCTATGTAAGAAAAGTCCAGGTGGTCCAATGTGTCACTCAGCGGGTCACCCAGATCCAGACATAGTCATGCTGCTGTGCGTATCAATAGGCATATCTAGAGGCTCTTGAGAGCTGATCCACTGAATGCATTTCTGCTTCACTGTTTAAAACAGACAACTATCCAATACCTGGATAGTAAGTGTGGTGTGGACTTTTTAGAACTGTATTATCACTGCAGGCATTGCATTCATCAAAAACAGAATATCCCTTTCCTATTTTATATGTTTGTCTTTTGCACTTTACCTCAACACAGTGCTACAGAGTGTGTGCACCTCTGCCAACCTTTTCTTTTGGCCTGTCACTGACGCCCTTGCCTTGCATACCTGTGACAGCACTTCATGTAAGAAAGGCTTGCCAAATTCCACATGTTCTAGCAGAACTGAGGTTTTGCTGCTTCTCTAATGACACACTTAAATTAAGTCTGAATCATGCCATGAACATTGGCAGATGTTTTGTTATTCTGTTTCCTCTTAGACATTTAGATTTCTTTGAGATGGTCAGAAATGAAGATGACCTGGAGCTTGCCAAGCGGTTTGACCTGGTAAGTTTTTCTTTGAAGTATGTGAACTTGCCAAAGCTGAACTTGCATCCCTTTGGGATGCTTCTTGCACCTTTCCTTTGTGCTCCCTAAAACTGAGGTTTGACTTTGATGCTGAGAGTGGCTGATGCTCTTGTTTTCACTTTTCCTCATTTAGCAAGCAGGAGGTTTGCACTGTGTGAACAGTGAAAACAGTGGTCACACAAAGGGCTTCTGATGAGTATCTTTGATAAAAATTTTTCTTATGTTTGCCTGAATGTTCAGAAGTGAAGGAGGTTCTCAACCATGCTCTTAGGTTCTCAGTCCTGATCTGGATGCCTCCTAGTTTCAGACATCTCCTTTGCAGGACTGTGGGTGAAGTTTGGGCTATTTTCTGATATTCCTGCCAAGATTGCATGTAACTCTGCTGACAACTGTTGCCTCAGAGCCTGTGGATGGGATCAGGATTTCAGAATATGCGGTTTTAAAGACTGACATAGAGACAACCTCTAGCATCAGTAAAAAGCTGTAGGGTCCTGAATGGTTCAGTCCCCTCTTTCTTTATGAACAGCTCTTGCTGTACTCACAGATCCAGAACAACTGAACCTTTCTTGCTTAGCTTCTACTATTTGTGCCACCAGTTTCTAGGACTCAAATGTTTTGCTTGCTCCAGAACAGTTCTTGGTGGCTTTACATGGCTCCCACCTTTCTAGCCTTTTACTCTGGGGATCTATTCCATACTGGATAGGGATGACAATGGTGGTGTCAAAGACCCTTGTGCCTGTTCCTGGAAGCTGCAGCTGGACCTGCCAGGAGACTTTGCAGAGATCCAGTTGCTGGAAATTTGCCTGTCTTTGTATTGATTGGCTCTTTCACAGTTAATCAGGCTTTTACTGTGGATGGTTTTTCTCTTCTCTCACTTCAGATCCACATTGATACAAAAAGTGCCTCTCAGATGTTTGAGTTGATCAAGAAGAGATTGAAGCATACAGATGCCTATCCCTATTTGTTATCCATCCTCCAGCACTGCTTGCAGATGCCATGTGAGTACATTTATAGATTTCCAGAGCAAGGGGTATTGAAGAACTGGGTGAAACTCTGCTGTTCACAGATACCGGGGCACACACTGTCATTGTCTCCTATTCAGAGCTTGGCTGTGGCTAATGAACTTGGTATCTTACACTGCAAAATTTTTGTTGCAATACTTAGGGCAGTAGTTTGACCTCTCTGCACTTGCAAGTAAAACTGAGTAGCTGAGTCATTCCAGTTAGTCACTGACAGAGCTTTTAATGATTTTAAATCACAAGTTTTAAAAAAGAGTCCATGTGCTACAGATCAGGGGATTCCCAGAAAGGGATAGCATTTGGAATATTAAAAAAAGACAGTGAGAATTTTTTCTGGTGAAACAGTACAGTACTGAAAGCTGTTCTACCACTGGGAAATTCCAGTAAGTCTTCAGGCTACTATCTCATGGCAGTGCATCAATGGAGAGCTCCCAAATGCAAAGTAAAAAATAATATTGGAATTTGTTTCCAAAGGAAGGGATAAGAATCTTCTTGTTAACTGTAATAAAATAATTCAGTTATGCATCCAGAATTTAACAGCAAAATCACTAAAGGACTGCCTGCCTTGATCCTCTTAGGTGTGAGGTGCTGGTCTTCCATGACTTTCATCCATATTTGAGCAGTCAAACCAAGAAAGGAACATGAGGGAGATGTACTGGGGTGTGCTTTTCAGCAAGTAACGTGATATGTATTATTTTCTCAGACTCTCATTAGATTCAAGTACAGTGATGCACAAATTTGAGTGATACTTTTTCTCAGTGGCCTCTTTGATATTATTCTTTAGGAGAGAGCTTGAGCTTTATGTATTAACTGGGATTTTTGGTGGCAGAAAGACTAAATCCTTTTAGGCCAGGGCAGGATTGTACTGGAGCAGTTTTAACGAATCTAAAGGTCTAGTTTATGTAACTTACAGAGTTGAGGTGGACTTAATGTTGCTCTAGGTCTTCTGTTTGTATGTCCATGAGATCAGTCCCTTTGGTTCAAATTCTGTTCTTTATCTCTGCACTTTTCAGTCATGTTTGTACAAATTTTTCATGCCAGTTGAGTTTCACTGACCTGCAGATAACCAAGCATGAAGATAGAACATCTCATTGTTTCTACAGTGACCTCAACATCAAGCCCCAGAAAACACTGAGTATTAGTTATCACAAGGGAATCCTTTTTATAGACATTTAGTGTGCAACTAATAGCTAATCTGTCAAAAGGGTTGCATAGCCTGAATGTGCACATTAGGCACAAAGTCGCCTGTGCCTGTTATGAGCTGTCCCAGTATGCCAGGTGTTTGTAAATAATCTGCTAGTAACTGTTCAGAGTTAGTCTTTGTGTTCTGTAATTCATCGCACACAGGACTGAGATGAAAGGTGGGGAGGAAAGAATGCCAGTTTGTTGGCATGTCTGTGCACTTTGGCATGGAATTGGAAGATCTCATGGGTTGGTCTTTTTTCATTACAGATAAGAGAAATGGAGGAAACTTCCAGCAGTGGCAGCTGCTGGACAGAATACTCCAACAAATTGTTCTTCAGGATGAGCGAGGAGATGATCCAGATATAGCTCCACTGGAAAACTTCAATGTCAAAAATATCATTAAAATGTAAGCTACTTTAGTATTGTTTATTTCTTTTATGCAGGTGTGATCAGTATGCAGGTGCTTAAGAAATAAAATACCATATGTGAGACTTTCTTGTTCAACTTACAGCTTCTCATTGTCTTTGTAAGTCGTTTAGTCTTCTAAGTAGTTTCCTTCTAATGACGTCTTAGCTTGGCAGTATTTCCTAGCAAAGTCCTTGTATTTGACTTCAAGTAACTGTTATTCTGGTTAGAAGAGCAGAAAAAATGCTTATGACTTTATAACAAGGCTTCCACATGTGCCTTTTTAAATTCAGGATGCTCATGAAAGCTTTCCTTGATACTGAAATGTAAAAATAATGTCATAATCTCTATGTAGATCCCATTCCTACTAATAAGCACATGGTTTAGAAAGATTGCAAATAGGGGAAAGCAGTCCCCTCTTGGCACACAAAACCTCTTACCTCTTCGTAAAATGTCTGTTTGCTCTCACCCACAGACTTGGTTGAGGGCATTACCATTATTTTTTCCCATAGGATGCATCATTTGAGAAGTCTAGCTACATGAGCTGGCTCTCTTCTCAACTTCCCTGTTCTCAGTCCTTTTTTAGCCAAACTTTTGGATTCTTCATTTCATCCAACTGCCTCTGAAGGTAATTCATGGCCCATTACCCCTCCGAATTATCCACTGAAAAGAACATTTATAGAACATAAGTCCTATATGAAACCAAATTCTCCTGTATTAAAAATTTTACAGTTCCTTTTGTTATAGGTGTGAGCCAAAATCGAAACTGATTTTTTGTCTCGGAAAAATACAGTGGTGTTGGATACCAGACTTCATTGTAGATTTCATGCCTGATCTTCCTCTTCTGCTTTCATAGCTACTTCTCATTCTGCATATCTAATCAATCCCCAGCATGCCCTGCATATTTTCTGTCAGTAATATGAAATAGCTGTGCCACTATGAGATACGAGAATTGCCTTGTTACTGATGTATTACCCAAAAGAGAAGTATTCTTCCTTCTTGTAAGAAAGAAAAAATAGAACCACAGAGATTAGGAAAAAAAAAACAATGGCAATCTGGTCTTATATTAAGGATGGGGTAATTTGTAACCCATAGCAGCTGTGATTACTTTAGTGATGACTTCTCTCTTTCAAAATAAGTAGACTTGGCATTTTGTGGGCATTACCTGAAGACAGGAATGTATCAGGACTTCCTTCCACAGCCATTCCTTTATCCCTTTTTATGACATTGAGTAAAAAGGCATCCTTTTTTTATTAGCTGTAGGCTAGGGAGTAGAATCTGGATCCAGAAGGACCACTGGCGTGATCCTGTATAAACTTGTACACTTACCAGGTTGTGTTTTGCTGATCACTACGCATAATGGCCACTTGCCTTTCAACCTGGGTAGCTCAGGAAAAGTTTAAATGATCTCATTTCATCTTTCAGGCTGGTGAATGAAAATGAGGTCAAGCAGTGGAGGGATCAGGCAGAGAAGTTCCGGAAAGGTGAGTTCATCCTCTGAGCTTGCATAGGCAGAAACTGATCCCAATTCATTCACAGAGCAGTGACCAGCAGAGCTGGGCACAACTTTTCCTTTTGCAGACATTTTGTGTGATGGTGAACAGTTCGTGTTTCACAGGATGGGGGTTCCTTCAGTCTTCACATGAAGTGATTTTACAATCTGTCTGAAACTTAGGCGTTGCTGTCTTGATCACTGAAGGTCATTGTCAAGACAGTCAGGCTTTATTTTCTTTTTCTTGCTTTCATTATACATCCCTGCTTGAGCTGACAGAAGTGTCAGCTTTATTTCAGCATAACCTACATCTCCTCAGGGATTGTTCATGAGCTTTGTTTCATCAGTCCCACTTGCGTGTTCCCCCTAGACCACGCAGAGCTGATGAGCAGGCTAGAGAAGAAGGAGCGGGAATGTGAAACAAAGACCCAGGAGAAGGATGAAATGATGAAGACACTGAACAAAATGAAGGACAAGCTGCAGAAGGAATCCTTGGAGCTGCGCCAGACCCGAGACCAGATGAATGATCTGGTGGCTCAACTTAATGAGTTCTCGGTATGAGACTGGGAGCCTTCCCCATCATTGTTTAAAGGCTGCTAACTAGTGAATGATGAACCAAAGTATGCTATGCATGAAGCACATCTGTGGTCATAATAGAGAATACTTAGAAGCTCCTCCGATTTTAGCTGAGACCGAAGTCCCTGACCTGGTGGTATAGAATGGTTCATGCATGGGCTGCTCCATTCCTTCTCCTCAGCCACCTTCCTTGAAGGAGCTGCTGAGGCACATGTGTCCTCCTCCAGCCATAATTTTCACTGCTGAGTGGGGTGGCCCTGGTTATTTCAGTGGAATAGAGAGAAACCTCCCTGATACAAAAGTATATAAGAAAAAGGATTCCTATAATGCTGCAAGAGTATCTGAACTGTCTCAGAGTCCTGCAGAAGTGGCATTTGCAGATGCTCCCTCCTGTTTGGTGCTCCTTGTATCCCAGCAGTGTGCCTAAGCCACCAGAACACAGCCCTGAGAAGTTAGACACTGCAGGAAGCAGATTCATTCCCTCCTCCCCTCTTCCACTTTGCATTACTGAGGCCTAATGACAGGTATTCAGTGTTTCAAGCCCTTAGCTTTTAAACCCAGGAGTTCAAAAGTTCATAAGATTGAACTTTTCTCTTTTTTCATACATAAGGAGAAAATAATACATTTTGGCTTCTTTTACTAGCTTTCTGTTTTTCTGAGCCATTTATGGTTCTTTTTTCAAGCCCTTCTCCACAACTCCATGGGCTTGAAACTTTCTCTTAAATGAAAGCTGAGATTCCTCCCTTTATTGCATGGCTTTGAGTGCAGGAGGCTTTAAAGAAAACATCAAATATTTTGAGAGTCGTAATAAAATCACATCAGCTGGCAACATGGAGTTACTGTGCGTTTTAAACTGTTTGCTTTCTTTTTCTCTGTGTTTTTCATTTTCCAGCAAGGGGGCAGCATTTCCTTCCCACCCCCACCACCCCCTCCTCCAGGTGGCCCATTAGCTTTGTCCTCTTCTCATATGTCCGAGAATTTGCCACCATTGCCACCTCCTCTGCCTTTCTCCAGCTGTCCCCCACCTCCTGCTCCACCACCTCCACCAGGAGGACCTCCTCCTCCACCAGGAGCACCACCTTTCTTCAGCATGGGGGTGCCACCCCCTTCAACAACCACCTTCAGCACCAGTGGCCCCAGTCTGAAGAAGAAATCTATCCCACAGCCTTCACATCCACTGAAATCCTTCAACTGGGCTAAGCTGAGTGAGGTAAGAAACTGCATTACTCAGTTGATTTACTTTCTGAGTAACCAACCCCAATGATGATTAATGCCACAAGATGCAAAGTGGCATAGAAGCAAGTGGCATTCTGTGGGCTGTAGTCAGTAGGAGTCCTTAATTGTGTTTAGGGGGTCTCTCCAGTTCTCCAGCAGTGCAGCACATCCCCTGTGATAGACTGAGCTGCATAGGTCTGGGCATGCAAATGATCTGATCAAGCAAAGCTGTAGTGGGGCTGAATACCTAAGTGAGAGCTGGACATCTCCAGGACTGATGTGCCAGAGCTGCCCTCACTTGTACACCAGGGAAAAGAGTGACCAGAGCCAATGTGGGCAAAACATGGTGAGAACCATCTGAAAAACCAGCCCCCTCTACTCTGGCAAGAGCCATCACCAAGGACCAAAAGGTGTCCTGATTCTCGTCACTGTTTGTTCATGGCCACGAGGGAAGCTTCCTTTCTCCTTGAATGGTTATACTCTGTCTGTAGGTGATAAAACTCCAGGTTGTCGAAAAAAAAAAAAAAAAAAAAAAAAAAAAAAACAACCAAAAACCCAGAGGATTTGGATTCTTCCTGTTGCACTCATTTTTCTTCTGCCTTGGTTGAGTGTCCTTCTTCACTTCTCTCTCCTCCTTCTCTCTCTTTTTGCCTTCTTCTTTTCCCTCCCCTTTTCTTTAGGTCTTAATTTTTTTAAACTGATTTAGAAAGAGAAAAAGTGTCTGTGTTGAGTTTGGATTTCTGCCTAGAAATCCAGGTTCTCTTTTAGACTGAAACTCACCCAGGGCCCAACTCTGGCATTTGGAATGAGTATCCAGGGACCTCTGGAATGCCACAAGAATTCTCTCTCCCCCTCTCCCCTTTTCTTTAAAATAAAGTGAAGTGAAATATTTGCTGCACCGTCTGTGCTTGTCTGTCAAGGCCACGTGGGGGGTGTGGGAGAGAATGTAAGGATGAGGATTTATTTTCCTTTGCAAAACATGGAACTTAGTGCTCTGAAGAAAAGAAATAGTAACTAATACATGTATATATATGAATTTATATGAAAAAGAGAGAGTCACAGGTGTTTCTGTTTAGTGTACAGTAACTGTAGGCTTATCCTGCCCTCTGGATAAGAGTGAAGGCAGCTGTGCTAATAAAATTGAAGACCTGGGTGGTGAGATGGCTAAAAGACACTATTTTGAGGAAGGCAAAATAGTTGGGTAAAGGGGCATAAGAGGGTGGGGTCTTCATTTTGGAGTGTCTGCCAGTGTTAGTGTTTTGGTATGGTTTCTGCAAAATGGCAGAGGTTGTGGTGTCAATACAGGTGTCTCACGTTGTTACTTGGGTTGCACTTTGTTATGAAATTATTTTATTCACTGGCTGCTGGAGAAGCTGATATGTTTTGCTCATCTTCCTCATTCATCCTAGATTTCCTGCTTCAGTATCTTTCCATTTACATGGATATGAATCCTGTGAGCACAAAGTCATGAGTAGGTTGGATGGGCTTTGTCATGCCTTTTGTTACCTTTGCTGCATTTCTGTGGTGTTCTCCTGAACTGAGCTGTCAGAGTAGCCAGACTGGAATGAGTGAGGACTCAAAACAAGCACACTGTCTGAGAGCAGCACATCTTGATTTTTTGATCCTGGGAAACTGAGGCTTGGAAGTGTGCACAGTATTTTTGTGGCTTGTGGTAGGGTTTAACTTGCAGTTCACAAGAATACAACTTTTCCTCACAAAAACATTTTCAGGAACAATACATGAAACACAGCAAGGTGAGGGAACACAGCATTGGAAACATAAAGTTAGAGCTGCAAGTAGGTATTCAAATATTCAGCTCTTTGTTATCTCTGCATACTGTTTAGATCACCTATCTCTAAGCAATTAGTACAGAGTCTCTCTCAGGAGATTTTTCTGGTAAGTGTGAAGGTGACTGAGGCAGCCCATATGTGGGCAAACTCCTCTCTGTCCATGCAGCTTGCCTCGAGGGAGTGAGGGAAAGCCAACAGAGGCCAACAGGAGTGTGGACAAGGCTGGCTGACAGGGATTTGTCTGTCCACTACTTTCTCTGTAGTGGAATCAAGGCTGTTCTCCAGGGCAATTCATATGACACCTTTCTTTTTCCCATGCTGATTTTGTCTTTGGAAGAAAAGAACTGAGCTGTTGGGTGTTGGGAGAAATATCAAATACAGTCAGGCAGTTGACAATAACAGATTGTCTACAGTTCCCATGGGCACCACAAAAAAAGGTTTGACTGGAAAGGATCTGTGCTTCTAACAAGGAAACTCCAACAGTGCACTAATTTCCATTGAGAATTAAGGACTTTGTGCTAGTTTTGATGTAAGCTAATGACCAGTGGCAAAGACATTTAGATGCCTGGATGGGCTGAGTTCTGATGAAGTCCTTCCCCACCACAGCTCCATTCATACAGCACTGTAGCATTGTCTGTGAATTCCATTCATACAGCACTACAGTAGTGCTGGTGCCAAGGACCTCTGTTTTTTAAGAAAAAGATATTGCAATATAACCGCTGTAATATCCTGGCAGGATTCCTTTCTTTGTTTCTGGGCAGCAATGCTCTCTCACTCTGAGTTTTACGCAACACTAAAGGTCAATCAGGGACCAAACATTTTTGGTGAACCCAAGCAATGGACTGGTTTCAAGAAAATTGAAAGTATGGATTAATAGTTACCTATTTGATAAATATAAACATACTGATTTGAAGTTCTCAGAATAAATTAAGTCAACCTTCAACTGCTCTGCTTCTTATCTCATGTCTGTAGAAGCAGCTTCCCATTAAGTGTCCTGGTAATGGCTCTCATCAGTGATGTCAGAGAGGCTTTCTTTAGCCAGTGCTAAATAGACCTGACTGGAATAGTTTCCTAAGAAAGGCATTTGTTCTGCATTCCATATAGGAGTTTTTGGAAAAGCCCAAAACACGCACACAGAAAAACAAATCAAAACCACCAAACTCAATCTCCCAAATCAGTCAATCATGTAACAGAAAATGTTCATTTTGACACTAATTTTTTTTAAAAAATGTTTCTGTAATGTTATCAATGATTCTGAATTCTGGAGCTTTTTTCCTAAAAGCAGACTGAGGTTTATGGTTATTTTATTTTATAATAAAATGATGAAGGACTGCTGCTAAACAGTCAAAGTTAATGGAAAGAGTTCTCCAAAAATCTCATTGTGAAGTTACTCATAATAGCTGTGGTGGTGCCTAGGCCTACAATGAAATAAAATAGTTGTCTTGATTAAAAACTGGGCAAAAATACAGCTTTTGCTTGAAGTGGATTTTTCTCACACTGAAGAAAGGACCTAATATGAAGAGAAAAGTTTGAAAAATGTGCTTTGTTCATATAACTTTTCAGATTCATAATGGAATTCTCAATTAAAATTTTAAGTTGCTTCCACTTTTCTGGTTAATATTCTACAAATATTAGCCTGCTAATAAGCTGAATTGCCTGCTCCAGTATTCACAGAATACTCATCGTTTCCATGGTATCTCTGAACCTGCAGGTCAAACAAAAGTACTGTAGGTTATCACTCATCCTGTGAAGTTACTGAGGCATGATGGACTTCGATGCCTTCCAGAATATCTTTATTTATCTATCAGGGTAAATAAAATCATCCTTTAGGTGTAGCAGAGGACAGCTTGATATGATTTGCAGTGCCATGAAACTCTGTCATTTTCTAATGTCATTAGGTCCATCAGCAAACTGGGATTTACTATAAAGGTGGAATGATGCAACTGCTACAGTGAGTGAATTGTTAAATGCAACATACAAAAACTCAGCTTGATGGAGCAAATGCCTTGTCAATACTTTTTCTCATAATAAGATGTTTCCTGCCCTGGTATGTGTCACCATTTCATTAGAGGATGCTGAGAAGTACAGGTCGCAGGATTTGCTTTTCCAAGTGGACCAAAATTTTCCAAAGCAGAGGAACCACAGATCTTGGAAGACTTGTAGAATGAATAAACAAATAAATGAAGATGCAGAGAAAAACATTACAGATAAAATGACTGCTCTGGGTTTTTTTTTAAGTTTCTTTTTTTCTTTTCTTTCTAGGGGCAGAGAATAAAGAATTTATTTTTAAATTGTTATTTAGGGACCATAAATATTTTTATGGTGCTGAGGGAATCATTTATCATAGCAACCACATTATGCAAGTCTGTTTCTCTTAAAATGCTCTGTCTTCTCTGGCTGATGACAAGGAACTATCAGCCAGTTAATCCATAACTGTGTAAACTGTGTATGAAAAGTTCAGTCCAGGAAGTTATCTGGCAGCAACATGAAAATTTTCAAGGACAGAGCTTATAGTAGAAATAGAAGGGACAGGCCCATTGCAAGTGTTAAGTTGTTTATACCTCTGCCTGCCTTGATTTTTCTTTGACTGCATTAGCCCTAGCATTGAATTGCTTTGGTCAAAGTTCTATTTGTACACACCATTGCAAAGGGTGCTGCTTTGGAATTTGTCTTTCTGCTACAAGTAGCATACAAACCATCCTGTACAGGACTAGATTCAATCAGGCTCTTAAAATGAATCTGAATTGAAGTTGGAATAATTTTCACAGGGTTGTTTTCCTGGGAAAGCAGCAGGAGAACTACTCTCTGCAGTCATTTTCTGAGTCCCAGAACTTCCTGTTTTGGCACCTTTGCAGTTCATTCAGACTAGACTGTTCTGTAGGACATTTTTGCTGTTCTTGCCATTAGCGAGGAAACCTCACTCCCGTGAGATTTTTGCAGCTGGACAGGTAGATGGGCAAGACTCATGAGTAGCTGTCTTGAGTCACATCTAGCCTCTGCCAAACACAGCATAACAGCTTTTTGGCATCCTCAGGGCTCTATCCCAGTGATGACTCTGAGGACTCCTGTCAAGAAATATTCAACCATTTCAGTGTTTGATTGGACAGTCTGACACAGTGAGGCACTCGGAGAACTGCTCTGCTGTTCAAATACATCCCTCAGGATTTATAATTCATGGTTTACAAAGCCAGCCTGGAAATTGAATGAGAATGATCACTCTGCCTGGATGTTTCTGGCTAAGATTGACAGTGGAGTTCAGGGCTAGGATAAAAAGAAAATTAATTTTGTCTCCCATTGCTTTGGCTGAGATGAGCCTCTCAGACTTGTTTGCTGTGTTACAGTCACGTGTTCTTCCTGGTGTGGAAAGAAGAGCCACACTGATTGCAAGGGATGATACAATCATATTGGTGAACCTGCTCAGGAATAGGTGCTGCTCCCATCTAGGATATGCTCTCACTGTGAATAGCACTGCAGACACCCCTCCTTACCCTCAGGCACTCACAGGCTGCCTCTGGAAAAAGGGTGTTGGTTTTCCTCCACAATGTCTGCCCTGCCAGGAATTTCCTCCAGAGCACTTCACACTTTTATTTCCCCCTCATTTTATCCTCCTCAGTTTTTCTCCTTGCTCCTTGAGCCTTGTGGCTTAGCACATTTCCCTCATTCCTTTTGATGACTCTGAATGGGAAGTAGAGCCTGTTCCTAATTAGTTCTGATAATGAAGTGCTAACACACTTTGCTGTGTAGGTACAAGTCAAATACTTCAGAGCAGGACCTGTGTGAGGGTTTCATTGCTATTGCTTGTGGTCCCTGGCTTTCTCTGCATCAGTGTTCTGCTGGCTCTTTATCTCCTGGGATTTGCTTAGGTCTTTTTTTACAAGTCTTTTTGTCTATTTCTTTTTTCTTTTAATCAGAATTTTCATTATTTTTGCAGTTAATAAAGTACAATAAATATGCACTTAATAAACTAAATTAACTAGGAATAGTAGTGTCAGTGGTGTGAAGAGCACCCAAAGCTTGTCCCACACAACATGCACCTTAAGAGTCATTAGGAAGGAGAAGATAGTTTGGTCTTTGTGTCCTCTGCCAGAAAGGATATCTGTCCTGAGCATCCTGTCAGCAGGAGACCCAAGACCTTCACTTAGTTTAGGATGATTGCTGATTAGTTAATTTGTGTACTACAGGAGCCTATTTTTTCTGGGTTTGTTGACAGGAAGTAGGAGTAGAAGTCTGTGCCTATCTCCCTCCATGCTAATTATCTGCCAAACAGCTAGGATTCCTGGCATTCAGGATAATGTATCATCATAAGGGTTGTGAACATTTCCAGTTACTGTGAATGGTGCTGTTTCAGGGATCTGGGTATAGTTTGTGTCTATCTGGCTTGACAAAGACCTCATGTAGACAAGGGAGTTCATGTAATAGGAACAATTAGACTTCAAAGACTCAAAAGCTTAAAAGTAAAGTAAAATAATAATTTAAACTACTTTCTCAGGCAGACATAATGAAAGCCACACACCCTTTAGGCTTTACAAAAGAACCTGGAAAAATTTGTAAAAGGGAAGATGTGTCTGGGGTTTGTCATGCATCAGTGCTTTTCCTAAGCTTTTTCCTCCTGATGGTAACACTCCTTTCAGCATGACCACAATCGTCATGTTAGACAGATGGCCATTCTTGAAAGGAAATATGCTGTGGGATCATGGATAATGCTTGAAATGTGGTCTGCTAGTCTTGGAATGTGCTTTTTCATTAGATGCTTTCTGTGATGAAAACTACAAAATAGTAGTTTTAAAACAAATAAGAAAACCCAAACAAACAAACAAAAAAACCCAAATGAAGTGCTGTTTTTTCTCCTTTGACTCTTGAACCAAAGTGTGTCCTCTAAAACGACAACAGTAGTAGATAGCAATGTGACTGGTGAGTAGAAGAGAATGATCTATCCAAATGGATTGGATGGTCTTAGCTAAATACTTTTGCGATCTAGTTAAAATATGTCCTTTCCTTTTAGGAGAGGATCCATGGCACGATCTGGAATGAGATTGATGATTTAAAGGCATTCAAGGTGCTGGATCTAGAAGATTTTGAAAAGATGTTCTCCGCGTATCAGAGGCACCAGGTAGGAATGAACTCTTCCGTAACTTTTCTGTCTTGAATTTCTGGAGGAGAAATGAATACATGACAGTGGTGTGAGCCCTTGCCCACCTGCAGTCAGGCTGCATCACTTGATGCTCTGCCACTGTTCAAAAACTCTGAAGACCAAAGGAAGTTGGGATGGACACATGGGGGCAAGGTCTAAACTTCTGATACGGACATACTTCATGCTCACGGGCAGCTCTTAGAGACAGAACCTACTAACAGGTAATGCTCTAGTTAATGTCAGTGGCCATTGACTTCCGAAAGCTGCAGAGCTTTACATTTATATTTGCATATCAAACTTCCTGTTTCTCCCATTCATCTAGAGAAAAAAGGCTGTAGTTCCCTGAGCACTGAGCAAGGTGACTGTATTAGCTGTCTTTTGTTTTGTCTATTTTTTCTTAAACAGCCAACTGCCTGAACTGGCTAGGTGACAGAAATGGTCTGAATTACATATTGTAGAACCAACAGCATACTTTAAAAGTGGCTATTTATTAGAATATCTTTTTTTCCATCCTCTTTTTCTTGGAAAGCAAATCACTTTCAATATGTCTATCTCCACTGAGTGAGATTTAGCAGCAGACAGACTGTGCTTTCGCTCCTTGAACTCCCCCAGCTTTCCTTTGCTTTTGGAATATTTTCAATGTTTTGTACGCTACAGAACTGGATCATTACTCTGAAGTTTTAGGAAAAAACACAGACCCAACTACCATAAACAACCTTTATGATTATTTTGTACAGTGATGATAAATACTTCATTAACTGACTCAGTACCTTAAAATTAACAATCCAGCTCCTTGTCTTTGGATTTTCCATCTTCTCCCTTCTGTCTTTTATTTTTCTATCTAATCCAGTAAACATAATGAATAACAAAGTATGTGATGTTAACTGTTGCATGATGAGATTTCAGTTCTCATTCTGCTTCTGCAAATAGCTGATGCTGTTTCAGTGGGTCTCTTTCTGTAAATCACATTCCTTGAAACAAGATCTTAGTTCACAGAAGGGATGAAAGGCACACAAAACTTCAGTGCTGTTAAGAGATTTGATTTAGTCCCAGGAGCTTCTGTTCCAATATTTCAGGTGCAAACCTTGCAGCTTCCTCACTAGAAATGACCTTGCAAAGCCTTGCTTCCTTTTGTCCCCAAAAACTAAAGCCAAAGCTGTCCTGGTCTCAGTTAGAATCATAATATTTATGACTACATTACCAATCACTGGAAGGCAGTCTGAGCTATTCAGCCATAAACTAACCTGACCCTTACCCCTGCCTCTGTGGGTCTCTGAGCAGTACTCTTCCATCCTCATTAAACACACTTTATGACAGTGGCTCCAGACATTAGAGTAACACTTATGTAAGCTTCTTGTATTTTTGTGCAGTTAGACATCTTGCTGCCCTTACAGCTTTTGTTGAGGTTTTTATATTATTTTGGGGGTTTTTTTCTGCTTAAATATTTTGTTGTTGTTACTTTATGTGATACTTCCTATTTCATCCATACTTGCTTCAGTGTGAACTGGATTCCAATCAAGTCACATAATTTTCTTTTTTTTTTTTTTTTTAAGACCAGGCAACCAAAATTACTTTTGAATTAAAAATTTATGAGAAGGTTTTCAGTTCACATTTAGCCTTTTTTCCTCTTTTACTTTCGGAAATGTTCCACTCTGACCAAGTATGTGTTTATTCTGTGTTTGTGACTTTTAAACTTCATCCAAATGTCTGTAAAGAAAAATGTCAATGCAAAACCCTGCTCTTTTGCATCTGAAATGTTGAATGAGTAGATAGAAAACATTTCTTTCTTTGCTGTTATTAACATGACCTTCATGTTTTTTCCCATTTCATTTGCATTAAACAGTTTTTCTATTTCCTAATTTTGTTAATGACAGAGGGTCTCTTCTCCTCTCTCAAGCCCAGTGTGTCCTTTTTAGGGGCTATGAGGGAAAGCAAAATTATCCAGTGTACAGAATGCTGGACCAAGTATTCTTACACTTGTCTTCTGACCTTGCTCTAATCTTACTGTGTAATATTGACCTTTTGATTCAGTATAGCTGGTGTTTAACTGGAGTAATGACTAAGTCATGAAATAGTTGGAGTCTGTCTTCCAGAAGTCCTGTACTGCCTCTTTGGTGGTCACTGAGTGCTTTCAAAATACTTGGCTACAAGTTGTTAAAGGGTATAATGTGCCATTGAAACAAGTTGTTGCTTGTTATACTTCTTAGTACCCACAAACTGTGCCTGTGCATCAGGAGAGGAGAACTGACCCTCAAGTTATAAGCCTGGCAGTTCTTTCAGTAAGGCTCTGGACTGGATTTGTAAAGGTATTTAAGCATTATCCTAGTTAATATTTAAAGACCTAAAAGATTTATGCTTTGGAGACCAAATTTATTATTTTCATAAAGACCTAGGACTCTTAGTTCCATGACATCTGCTGATTTAAAATATACAAAGAAATGCTGAAATACCTTTGAATCATCTGGGCCAGTATTACTTGCTAAGCATTATATGCTCTTAGAAAACAGTGTGTGTTCACACTAAATTCAGCTGCCTTGTTAAACTTGGTGTCTTTCTCTGTGCTAATTTTTGGCATGTTTCCGTCTTCGTTATTTGCGACTGCTGCCTGCATAGGACCTGCTAACTAACCCCTCCTCCTGTAAGCAGGTGAGTATCATTGTCTGCTTCCTGATCCTCTTGCCATGTGTGTGAAGGTGAAGTCCTGGACCATGCCATTATGGGGTCACAGCTCATGCTACTCTTTCATATGCCCTTGCACCCTGCTTTCTTAATGGGGAAGGTGGTACAAATAATTCTTTTAGCTATATTATTTCTGTGATAAGAGGTAGTTCGTGTTCTTTCACTTGCTTATATCTCACTGCTGGTGTCTGTAGTCCCTTTTTTATGATCCTGAGTAAAAAAGGCCAGGGACAAAGAAGAATGTCAGTGTGAACTCTTCCTTAACCAAAGTAATACTCTCTTGAGAGGAGAACAAAAGGGTCTCTCAGACAGCCTTTTCTCCCACTCTTCCTATTTCAGTTCTGTCTGCTTTGGACAGTACTAAAGTCTTCACATGTACTTACTAGCCACAGCTATCACTTTCTGATAAAGGAAATATTTCTTTGCATAGAACTGGGCACTTTGGCAGAAGGATTTGTGCCGTCTGAGGGGCAGAAGAGTTCCAAATGGACAGCTGAAACCCTCAGAAAATTCAGCAAAAGATTAAAATGGTGTTTAGATAGAGATATTGGGTTATGCACATGTCTTTAAACTGGCTACCTCTCAAGCAAAATTCTTGGCAACGATTTTGGTAAGAGTGATGCTCTCAGGAAAGGATTGTTCGGATATGATCTCTGGTGGTTTCAGAAGAAATTAGTTCTCACCACAAGTGTTCAGGTAACTGTATTTGGGAATTCTGGTCACAACTTTTACCACATGGGGGAGGCTAACATGGCAGCATATCAAAACAAGTCAATATGGTAGATGTAGTTCTCTGAAGTGTTGATAATTGCCAGAAGCTAGGGTGCTGCCATGGTGTGAGTCCTCAGCTAACCAAAATCAAATTGCACTTGAAGCAAGGCACCAATGTGATGAACACATTCCACATGTATAGTCATTTCAGCACTGAAATTTTAGCTGAGTTTTGAATTTGCAACTAAAATATCAAATCTGAAGTACTCTTTGAAGCACATAACATAGTGTTATCCCAGATAAGAAGTCAGTAAAGGATGATGGCATAAGGCTTAGTCATCTTGGCTGTCAGGTTGACACCAGCTCCAACTGTTCTTGTGTTCAGGGCTTGGGCTCTCTCATAAAAGCTAGTTGCCATTGCCTCCTTGCTCCTCTTTTTCTGTGTCTGAGAAAATATGGATAGTCCATATGCAATCTCTTTTCCTTGAATTAAGCTTGGAATCTGGCTTTGGTAAAACTTGAGGCTTCATCTGCTTTTGCTTACACATGACTCCAAGTAGCTATAAATATCTCTCTCCTCAATATCAGTCAAAGAGGATATATTTTTATCTGAGTCTAACCCTTATGACCAAGGAGTGAGCAATGTCTGAATAGTTCAAGTTATTAATCTGTGTTGAACCCTGTAGGTTGGGGAATTGGAAAAGGCATGAACATTATTGTATCAATTCCTGCCTAATCAATTTAAATGGCTTTAAAGAAAGCTGGCTAAACCCCTGCCTCACATACATAGCTAAAGGCTGAAACTTCTTTTCCCTTGGGATGGATGCTTGTCACTATCCAGGTCCTTGTCTGCAAATATTAGCTAGTGAGGAACAGTGAAGCTTTTAAACCAAGAGCACAGACCGGCAAGTAGCTGTCTTCCTTTTAACAGCTGCCCATCTCCATATTCCCCTGTCTTCCTCCCCACAAAGTGAGAAAACCTAAGAAAACTTTGAAATCTCTACATGCCAGATCATACTGAGGGCACTCCTCTTGTTGGTATTGTTAGATATTCTCTCAGCAATAATAAATGCACCCAATGTGAATTTTGCCTTTTTTGGAAACATTATTTGATGCATTGAGTAACATTGCAATTTTATTTCTGCCAAGCTAGATGCTTTAGGCACATCTAGAAGAATTTACTGAGTGCATGTCTCCAGCTGGTGCATTGTACCTGTTTAAAAATGACACTTTCTGTTGGTGATGGCTCACTGCAACAGTTTTGGATGTAGCTGAATGAGTCCTTTGTATATCCAGGAGCAGCATACATTTGTGGCAGCTGACTCTAACAATAACTGAAATGACAATTAGCAGTATGAACCTGTAATTTACATTGAAGTCTCAAATGCTTGGGTGTCAAAATCTCTTACATGCTGATGTAAGTAAGCCTTGAGTTGCAGAACCTTGAGTCCTGAGAGTGAATTATGGGAAGCACCAATTCTGTGTGCTTGCCATAATCTGACATGTTTCCCTGAGTATCTGCTGTTGGCCACTCCCAGGGACAGCATGCTGGGGTAGATAGACCTTTTGATCTGATCAGAATGCTTGCTGTTATATGCTAAAAAAGAAGTCATGTTGCTTATTTGATGGGTGCATCCAAAGCTATATTATACTGGTAAATCTCAAAATCTCAAGGCCTGACAATATGGATATGTCATGAAAAGGCATTTTTTTATTGGTTCCAGCAGAAGTTAGCTAGGAAAATAAAAACTAGATGGTCAGACTGAGTTTACAAAATTTTATCATTGTGTGCTATGACAAATGTTCTGGACTGGATTTTCAAGTTTTTTTTTCAGGTGATGGCAATGAGGTTATACAGACAACTTTGCAAAAGGCTGATTTCTGTATGATTAAATGTATTAATTAGTTTTTAAAAGAGAAGATAGTTTAAATGTATATTTTTACCATTTAGTAAGATATATTTAGTAAGATAAATGCCATCGTGCGCTACTGTTTGCATCTCTCATATAAGATGGATTGGTCAGGTCCATTGGCAGCCATAAGACATAACAAAGGGGTTTTGTTGCTTGTGCTGCAGCCTTTCAACAATGCTGTGTAACCCCTGGAGGAGGCATCTGCTGAAGGATATGCTGTGACACCAGTGAGCTTCATCATAATGAGCCTCATTCTCCTATCATGCCCATTTTGCACATTAACATAATGTAATTGTAGAATGAGTCTAATAGGCCAGAATCAGGTCCAGTATTTGGGATCAAAGAAGAGCTTATAGATGTTAATGAATGATTTCTGTTTGCCTAGTAACACAGGATCTACCCCCATGCTTTCTGCCTTTGTCTTCTTTGCTTATCATGTGGGATTTTTCTAGGTTGGGATGGATTTGTTCATTACACTGAGTTAAGTCTATCAGTCTTGAGTGAGAAACATAATGCTGATTGTTTTCCTTCCCTTTTGAAATACATGCAGAAAGAGATGGGCTCAACAGAAGACCTCTACCTCTCCACACGAAAGGTGAAAGAGCTCTCTGTGATTGATGGTCGGAGGGCGCAGAATTGTGTCATTCTCCTTTCCAAGTAAGTGTGCTAAGCCTTAGCTCACAGGGTGTGCCATGATCAATGCAGAGGCAAGAGGGGATGAAATTAAACAAATGGCTGTGTTTCTTTTCCCAACTAGACCTGCTGTTTAATACCTGCAGAGCCTCAGATAAACCTCTCTTACAGTGTCATAAAAGCACATTTCTCATGCATGTTATCTCACTTAATAAAAATATCCACACACACATTTTGTGTGTCAAACAGGTGGGCATCAGCTTCTATCAGAAGACTCATCATCAGAAAATTATCAGTACTCATTGGTAGATGAAAGCACTCTTTGGCAGTGCTTGCACTTCACTCTAAGTAATGTGTCTCCCACGTTCTGTTTCTGTCATTTGCCTCTGTTCTGTGTGTTTTTTTCTAAATATTGCTCTGACCATCTCCCTGGAACATAGCAGAGCTGAATGTGATGTTCATTTTAGACTTGTGGTGAGAACAGTGGCAAACACAGGCATTCATATTCAAGACCCTGAGATGAGCTCAGCTGGTTAGACCATGGTGCTGATAACATTGCGGTTGCAGTTTAAATCCCTGTATGGGCCATTTACTAAAGAGTTGGACTCAATGATCCTTGTGGGTCCCTTCCAAATCAGAACATTCTGTGAAGAATTAAGTCTTCTACTAGTAAATTAGGTTTTTGAAGTCAAGAGTTGCCTCCATGTATTCCTGCAATGACTAATGCATTCAAATGCAGTGTCATCATGGTCCTCTATTTTTTCATGCCTTTCTACCAGCATAAGTGCTGCGTTTGAGGTCTGTCACTATCAGATTTTTTCAGACACTGATCAAACTGAGAAAGTTGCCTTTCCTACCAGAGGAGTGACAGCAAGGCTGGAGACAAAACCTGACAAAACTGTGGCAGTACTGAGCAGCAAAAGTGTTTCACTGGGCAGCAGAAAATATGGGTTCATGTGGATGTGATGCTTGTCTGCTGTAGCAAGCTGATAGTTAAAGCAAGGTTGCAGCCAGACCACCAGGAATGGAGTGAGTTCTTTCCCTTGCTTAGTGAAATCCATGGAGGCTCTCATTATGCTACTTAGGTGGCATTAGCATGCATGTCAGCAGGACCCCCACCATCCAAACCTTCACTGAGGAAAGGCTTACATTTCTCTCTCTGCAGCAGTTGCCAACACATGTCTTTGCTGGTGTTGGCAGCTGGCTGAGGCTGGGGCAAATGGATGGGGAGGCATAAGGGCACCAGGATTTTCATGCTGTTTGACGGACTACTGAATTGTGTCTGGGGTTCAGATTAACTCTGTAAGCAGGTGAAACATTTCCTGGAAGTGGTAACATCATGTGTTCAGTTGGCTGGGCTGAGGAGGATCCAGGAAGGTGGTCCATGACTTGATATGGCACTAGATATTTAATTGTAAATATCTTGTGTCTCATAACCAAAAGCAATGTGGATAGCAGCAATGCATGCTTTTCAATATTCACCCCCTCTGGTGTGCAAGTCTGAGCAATCTTACCTGAGAAGAATCCTTTCCAACCAGAAAGAGAGAGGGGACAGTTTCTGTGTTTTGTCTTTCTTTTTGCTGCCTCCAGCAGTAAGGTCATTGAAGCATGAACCTTGCACTTCAAGATACATGGCATGTGTTCACTCCAAGCATGCCATGAAGTTAGTGCAACTTGAACTGCTAGTCTGGACTCAAACCAGAGGTGAAAAGATGTGTTTTGTGACTATCAGCTTCTTCACCAGGAAATATCCTGCTCTTATTGTTAGCAGGTCTAACATGGAGGATAGAGATTTGGAGACTGCGGTGTCCCTGTGGAGCCTGCAAGTTTGCACTGTGCTCTGTTAACTTTGCTGCTGTGGTATTGGAAACACCACCTGCCAGGGCTATCCCACTGGTTTAGGTAATTTAATGTTTATAACAGATAGTGTTACACCCAGAATATCAGAAATATTGTTCAGGTTGGCCCAGGATTGGTATTCCTCCCCAAACTTCCCTTTTAAATGCAACCAGAAAAGCAAAAATCTTTGAGAACTAAAATAGCACCTTTACATTCTTGCCCCTTTATTTTTTTTCAGTTTGCTGTTATATGGTTCTAATATTAAAGACAGGAATTGGGAAGAATGGCTGCAGACAATAGTTAAAAGGGCTTTATAAGCCCTTTGCTGGTTTTTTCATTACTCCACATCTTCCTCCTTGAGGTTAGACACTGAAGAAGAGACACTCCTAGCCAAATCATCCCTGCACTGCACTGCATTGCTGCCATGGACTTGCTGCTCCTGCAGCACAGCTCATATAGGTGCATGGGGGTGTGCACCCGCATGCAGTGAGAGGGGATTTAAAACTGGTCACAAACAAAATGAGTTTCTGCAACCCAGAGCTGCAGCCCCAGATTTCAGGTTGTCACAGTATCTGCCAACAGCTGTTTCCAATTGACTCTTACTGTGCATATATCCCTGTAGTTTATTCCCCCTTTGTTTACACTAAACCATCATGTCCTTTAAAGTAAAATAGCTGCATGGGTTGGGTTTTCTTTCCCTCCCCTACTCAAATGTTTTTGTTTTACTAACACTGTGTTAGAAGGGGTCAGGCAGAGCTCATATTTCATATGGTCCAACAAGCCAAAACCTATCAAGAGTGAGAAATAGATGTCTCTTGCTTTCTTTTGCAGAGAGACTACTGCATGGTAGGCTGAAAAGAGATGAAAATTGAATTGCTAGTTGATCTTTGCTGACATCTAACAAATTAATAAACCTTCCTCCCCAATCTCATCTTTACTTCTGTAAAAAGATATCTCTTTCAACTACTCGATAGTAGCATCTTTCAGTTTTCCTGCAGAGAAAGGATTAAATTGTCCCTGTTTAATAGAGTCTGATGGATCTAAAACAAAGCTCTGTTCCATAGGCCATCTTCAAAGACTCAAAAAAGCATAAGATGTGTCTCTCTCACAGTACTTCCAGTAGGCCATAGTTCAACCAGGGCATGGAACCATCTGTTTGCAGCGAGGTCAGGCACCCACCAGCTTCAAATTTAGCTTTCTTAATGGTGTTTCAAACATATAGTTACTTTTGTCACACTGGAAATCTGCTATCTCTCATGAATTTCCTGATGTCTTCAGTTTCCTGCAGGCTGGAGTTTTGTTGTCAGACTTGTGTGGTCTTGGAAGAGTCATCCCAGATCCCTATGTTTCCTTACTTTCACCTGGCAGCTGGAAATTTCTCTGACCACTCTCACCACTATGGCTTCTCCCTGCCTCCATTACTTAAGTAATTGATAATATTTTCGCTGCTCTGTTTTTGTAGTGCCATTTCTTTAAATGTTCTTGCAGAACATGCTCAAGATATGTGTTGTTCACTGTCTTGCTCTGTGAAATGCTCTGGAGAAATTCAGTTCTTTGAGACATCCTGCTTGGAAGAAGGTTGAACGTATACTTATGGAACTTCTTTGTGCACATTATTTTGCATAATATCCAGCAAAATAATTATGTCAATGTTCTTCTGAATAATGTGATGAGTTTTGTTATTTCTGTGGCTCAGTGAGCCAGCAGTAACCTTGGAGTCTGGAAACAGTGGGCATGCTAACAAAATGTCGTAAAACCAGTAGTAGCAGAAGGCAGAATCTGACTACACAAGAATAGTTTTAATTGTGAATGTGACATTAGACAGGTACTAGCAGGCAGGTTTATCAAATATTTGTGGCTTTGTCAATTCAAACATCAGTAAGGGAGAAGAAAAAAGGCTTGGGCAGAATTTCCAATGAGAACACAAAAGAGATAAACTATTTTTCTCACATCACTGTACCTCCTCAGTGCTTTTAAACTCTTTCAGTTGAATCATTAAGGGGACAAGCTATTCAGCCCATGTCACTCTCTGTGTACCAGCTTTGCACTGCCCCAGTCCCAGTGTGCTTTTCTGCCATGTGCCTTGTTTTCACCCTTGTTTTAAGGTAAATTTGAAGCAGTATGGTACAGGGTGCAGATCACATCTTGATACAGAAAGAGCTGATTTGACTCAGCATTCCTGTTCCTCAGTGTGCTGTATTGAAAAACACTGGGCAGTAACCAGTGCCTGCTGGGTTCCTGTAGAGATTTTTTGGTTTTAAATAAAGGTCCACAATAAATGGCTTTACCTGCTATGCTGAGTATGATACTCCAAGGCAAACTGAACACATTAGTTAGTGCCATCCTATCTGAGATCACAACTAGGAACCTGAAGGTAGGGTTGTGATAAAAGGTGAACCACTGCTTCATCAATATCTCATGGTAATTTGGGTGTTCCTTATTTGGTCCTGCTTTACTCCTCTTGGCTCAGAAACATAGTCATCCCCAGATCCTTCTTGGAAGGCAACTGAGAGTGTTTGAATGCAAAGTTGCTTTGTTACTCATGAGCTTTTGCTGAAGGAGAACAAGAAAAGAAAATACTGTTTCTTTCTGTACTTGCCAGAATACTTTCACAGTGATATTCTGAAAAGGCACTGGAGTTTGTTTTTTTTTTCCCCAACATGTTGGTATAATGGTGTAAGATGTACCTGGTAAAATGTCCCAGCTGTTGTCCCACAAAGGATAAAGCACTGTTGTCTTCACTAATGAGATGAGTGGACAACTGAGATAAAAGGATGTGGAAAGAGTGGCTGCATCTTTCTGTCTTCTGGATGAATGTACAGTTAGACTAGCCTGCCTCCTGAATGCTGCTTCTGAGTGGAGGTCTTTACAGAGTAGTGACAATCAGTATTCCCAAAACATAGATATTGAAAAGCCTGCACTTTGGGAGATGTACAGGGCCTTAGGAGAGCTCAGGAGTTAGAGAAGGCTTGTGTCTCAGTCACAAAGTCCGGGAATGAATTAACTAGTAGCCTGTGTGAAATGACTTTGTGCAGATGGAGTATTCTGCAGTCACTAAAAGCTAAGATGTGGGTGAGCTGTACAAACTGGCCTTGGGACATAGCTAAGTATCACTCAGTGCCTGTCACTGTCACAGCTACTGCTATTGGCATCTGTTGGGAGCACTGTAGTTCAGTGGTAGGTAGGTATAAAATGTCCTTGATACATGATAACCAGTCCTCTTCTCCAAGGTAAAAGGAGCAGTGGGTCTGTGATCCCTGTGGTATGGGAACTTAACATAGCTGAAAAAACCCTCAATTTCTCTGTTAGTGGGAAAGTATGCTTCCTTCTCAAAAGCTAGGAACAAGCCGATGATGTAACTCACTTTTTCCTTGGAGGGGGAGATGGTTAATGAGTGACAAGAATTTTGCTTTGATTCATGGGAGGGAGAAAGAGAGGGGGGAGGTTGCTGTGAGTTAAATCAATGGGTATATTTTAGGAGAAAAAATGACTGAGCACTGGGTGTCTGTAAGGGAAGTTGATGTAAAACTGCAACATGTCTCCCAGGCATGTTCGAGTCCGGCTGCTGGCGTTCTCCAAGAGGACGAAACAATAAACCACTTGATGTCTGCAAGTGAAGCTGGTGTTAAATCAGTCGAGGTGTCCTGGGGAGATTAGTGATGAATTACTCTGCAGAGTCAATAGAGATTATTTATGATGCCGGAGGGGATAGAGGGAGGCAGGCTAAGTACCATATCAGAAGTTATTTGGTACTTGTTGAGCTCTAACATTGCTTGAAGATGACTCAAGCAGTTGGACTTCCATATACTGCCACCAGATGTATGGGTGAGGGAAGAAGGAGGGAGTATTCTCTGTAAAGATCCTTTTCCTTCCTCATCTGGCCAGTGTCAGGCTCCTGTTGAACAAAAACAGGCAGTATTTGTGCTATGAGTGAATGTGCTGCAGCTGAGCAAAGGGGCACTGTATTTTGTTCTGGTCACATTTACTTCCTGTGTCGTGATTCCAGGATACATGATTTCGAGAAGCGTAAGGCAGAGGGAATACAGCTTGAATTGTATGCTGTTCCAAATTGAGTTACCTCCAGCAGCTGGAGGAAGAGTGCCTGGATCTGCAAAGCTTGTAAGAAAGTCATTGCAGCTTTCCAATAGATACCAAAATAGAATTTCTGTAGTGTAAATTTTTGGGCCATAATTCCACTTTAATTTTGCTCTCTCATATGAGTTTTAGGCTCTGAGGGATGCCTCTTTTCAGTTTTAAATTGAAAGATTTTACACATCTGCTTTAGGTTCTTCTTTAATCAGTTCACCTGCTTCTGTTTAAAACCAGCACATGTGTTTCACATTACTGCTGGCCATCTTTAAGATCTGCTACATGGCTGGGCATGAGTTTTGAAAATACAAATAGAATCACTTGATTAACAATTCTTTGGCTGGTTATTCAGACAGTTTGTAAATGGGAAGGTCTGTGTTTTGTGTCATTGTTGCTTTTGAAAGGCATCCTGTCCCAGAAGAATAACAAGCCCATTTTGGAAGAGTAAGATTGTTCTGTTGTAAATCCTTCCCTACTAGTGATTAGATTGGTAATAATCTAGGATGCACACCTGCAAGGCACCATGACCCCGTTGCAGTCCTGTAAGTGACCAAGTTAAACTGCTTCTCGGCAGGGGACTGGCAAGCTTTCTGCTTTTCTCTACTGTGGGCTAAACCATTCAAACCAGATGTTTTTCTGCTGATGGCTGGTGGGGCACAGAATCATCCAAGAAATCAGTGTTTGTATAACTCTCTGTCCTTGGGGCTCTCAATTATTTTTGAACAGAAGATGTTTTCAAGAGTATTTAATGCTGATGAATGGCAGCAAACAGAATCCTTAGAATCCTTGGGCTTCTGGACAGAACAGCAAGATCAGTGGTAATACATGCAACGCTGTTGTGTTGCTGTACCTCAAACGTGTTTATTTGGTCCTGTTTACTGCATCCCCAAACACACACAGAGGTACTTCCACTGTGTAATGTGTGGTCAGTGAGTAATTCCTCAAGTTATTTGCATGGAAAACATGAAAATGCACCCTAGTTATTTGCATGGAAAACATGAAAATGCACCCTAATTCTTTGTAAACTCTGTGAAAGTAGCAACAAACCCCCTCCACCCTGGTGTTAATGGGTTGCTTTATTTCATTCCCTCTCACAGACTGTGTGCCTGTGTTACAAATTAAGTCTAATCTGCAGAGTGCAGATTCTGAAAAATGCAAAGGTGCTCTCTAAAGGAAAAACGATCAACAAAATGTGGCACTTCAAAAACTTCAGGCACCGAATTGTTTGGGCATGTGTGTATGTGTCTCCTAGGGATCAGGCCTACAGCCACCAGTTTTAGTCCTTCTTTGGTCACAGTGTTTGATTGGTTGAGAGTCACATAGCCACAGACTTTACAATTCACTATTTAGTCCAAAAGTAACCCTTCCACTTTCTGGTTGAGGTTGTAGAGGTTTATGCAGAACCTCATGTACTGAAGTTTGTTTTTTTTTCATCCAGTGTAAAACTAATGACCTTAAGTAAAAAGTTTCCAACCTTTCCATTGTACAGCTATTAATCCTTATTTCTCATCTGAGCATGGAGCAATTATGAAGCTTTTCTGGAAATTCAGTACTTTATCTTGCTTAGCTGGTATCAGTTTTTCCTCCTTGTGGAAAGATGACATGATGACCAACTTGGAACACAATAGGAGCAATTAGTTCAGAGATGCAATACATACAAGACTTCAAATGTCTGTTGATTCATGTTTTAGTTTCCAGCTGTTGGATATATTGGGCAATATTAAAATAAAAATTTTAAGTTTCTTGTATTTAGTAATATTTCCTGTCTGTAAAAAAAAAAAAACCAACTTTTTCTTTTGCTTTTACCATATTTTTCCAAAAATGTGACTCTATCCAAATGCCAATGGCAATATGAAATTTCAACATGGAACTTCTTAGTACTGAAGACTAAAACATTTTGCTTCATGCATCGGTCTGTCTCTTATTTATATTTGCATTTTCTTTTTCTACTGTTAATTAATTATATTGATAGTAGAACATCCATGGAGACTGTAGACTTCAGTCTTCAAATATTTCTTTTTACACTCTACTGTTTCAATCCCAAAATGGAGATTTTCTTGTGGATAGCTTTTGCTTTATGGTTCACTTCAATATTGCCTACTCTCCTGAAATGACCGAGTATCATGGGTTGGGGTTGGTGCATTCCTTTGTTGACATCTGCTCTGAGAACAACCAAGTTCATTTCAGGCAACATCAAGCACCATCTTGGTAATGACAAATTTTGACTCCTCCTAATCTATCCTGGATTTCGAGTGGAGACTTTGAGACTTCTTTTCTTTATTGATTTTGTGTTCAGTTGTAGCCGATGACTCCTGCTTATTGTGCACAGATTGACAGGAGTAGGTGGTAAGGAGAGTGTAATCTTAGTACCTCAGATAACATTTAAAAGCTCTTGTTTTCAGAGCTTGTTTTACAATATGAAACATGGATATGCAGATGCTGTCTGTTCCTTTGTCATCTGTCATTGCTGACAGAGTGAATTTACCTAGCACAAGCAGTTTTCTTGCAAGAAAACCCTTTCTCAGTAAGGGAGTTTTCAGTCCCATTATTTGTTACTCTGGGAGATGCTTTAATATTCACAAGTCAGGATGTTACATGAGCTCACAGTCAAAAGTCACATGGACATGAAGGGTTTTACTATAGCAAAAGAACTTAATGAGGGAGGTATCCAGTGTGGGGGAACTTGGAAGTACTTTTGATCTAGAAGGACCTGATTGTTATTAATCACCATCTGATTTTTGATGTGTGTTTGATTAGCTGAAGAGGATAAAAATATATTATTCATAAAACCTCTGCATTTAGAACTGATTTATTCCACTTACTGAATATTCTAGAATAGCAGCTTCACAGTAGAGCTTGCTACTTGTGGTTGTTTTATGCCTGTTTAGTGCAGCATTTCAGGCTTCCTACTTTCTGAATTGTCAGTCACTTAAGCTTTGCACTAATGGTACAATGATACTTTTGATTGATACTTTTGAAAGGTTGAAGCTGTCCAATGAAGAAATCAGACAAGCAATATTGAAGATGGATGAACAAGAAGACCTAGCGAAAGATATGCTTGAGCAGGTGAGAAAGACTAAAGTCAGATACAACTTGTTTTTAGGTCTTTCACTGCCTTTTCTCAAATGGATGTGTGTACTGGCACTGCTGTTTTTCTGCAGGTGAGAACTTGGCTCTGTCATGTCAGTGGAGCTGCACAGGAGAGCATGAGAAAAGTGTTTTTCCCAATGTTGTCTGGTATACCTCTGTCATTTAACTGTTTCTCTTCTTGGTGCAAAATTTGCATGATTATAGGTGGTATAGGTGATTATAGGAGGTTTCTTTTTATGTCCTCTCCATTCCATAATTTTTCCCATTTCTACTTTTTCCTGCTGATTATTTATTGTTGCTTTGCTTTTCCTATTCATTGTTGGTTTCCTTTTCTATTTTCTTTTTCTTCATCTCACTTCTTTACCTGCCTTTTCTATCAGGAAGTGTCAGGAACCAGGCCATGTAAGTCAATGACTAGAGCCAGGACTAGAAGGGATCTCACAGGAACATTAGAAGAGGAGCCAGGGATTTCCATCCCCACCACCTGGTTGAATGTATAACTTGTAAGGAAAAACCTCCCACAATTACACCACCATTTCCCAATTTCCATTTATAGAAGGTGACAGATGATGCTTTGACCAAAGAGACATGTGAGAAAGTTCCTTAGGAGTGGGCAAAACATTATAATTACGAACTGTCTAATAAATGTGATTCCTTCTTTCTTGGCAGTCACAGTGTTTAATCATGCACAAAAAAGTTTTCCATTTTGGAAGTTTATAGCCTACTTGTCATGTTATCTGAATGACCACAGCTGCTCCAGAAGTCACTGCAAGCTTCTGATACTCCACACCTTTGAATATCACATATTTGCGGAGTGCAATGAAGTATTAGCAAGTGGTAAAAGGCAGAGTGCTTCATATGCCATGTGAGGGGGTTTTGTGGGTGTGAGCTGAGGGTGTGTGCAGGGCAGTATTTATAACCATACTAAAGCACAACTGCCACCAGATCTGTCAAAAATCTCTCCAAGTATGAGCTTTTAAGGTCAGCATATGACTAGCAGCCAGTGTCAGATGCATATCCAGTTGTTTGGTTATTGTTTATTGTTTCAGCACTGTAGGGCATACCCGAGAGAGATAGATGAGGCTTTGTGTGTACTCTACGATAGGCACGATGGGTACTTCACTCTGTTTGGGACACATCCTGCTCTTGTTTGCACCAATCTAAACTCCAAGTAGTGCTGTGGGAATCGAGTTCTCTCTGTACTTCCCCTTGGGTAAGTTGCAGTAGCACTTGGCCTTTAGGATTTTGAAATGGGAAATTCCCCATAGAATTAAAAATTAATCTTAATGGGGTCAGTGAAGGATAAAGACAGAACAGCAAGCAAGGGTTTAGAAGAGGTCAGTTTTGTAGACACAGCTGCACTTTTTTGAAGTTATGGTCACACGGCTGAGTCAATGTAATGCTTCCCAGTGGTAGCAGAGAAATCTGAGGGCTCTCATTCCACCAGGGTTTGTTTGTGCTCCTCTGTCCCCCTCTCATTTTCCTTGGATCTCACATCTCAGTGTTTGGTTTGTGTCTCTCACTCTAGCTACTGAAGTTCGTTCCTGAAAAGAGCGATACTGACCTGTTGGAGGAGCACAAACACGAAATTGAGCGCATGGCCCGAGCAGATCGTTTCCTCTTCGAAATGAGCAGGTCTGTTTGATACATTACGGGAAGAGTGCACACAGGACTTCTTGGAAGGAGCTGTAATTGTTATTGAAAATGGATCATCTGGCACAGCAGGGGAATGTGCAAGATTGTCGGCTAGCATTATACCCTGTGTTTGCCAGAAGCCTGTGAATGTTACAAATATTTCTGTTCATGACACAAATTTTATTGACAAGAAGCACTCTGTGTGCATAAGGGCCTGTGCCCTGACAACAAGCAGAAATCTGCCTCCTCTGCCTAAATTTGTTCACAAAAAGGAATGCAGATACAAGTGTCAGATGTAGTGTAGCCAGGGGTCAGGATTTCATATAGATCCCTTTTTCTGTTAAGCTATCTCATCTCCTCATCCTCTGACCCTCTTTCTTGTTCCAGCTTTGCTACACCCCTGATTAGGATTAACATTTTGTTCTGCTAATTGAGGTGTAGCTGGCATCTCCCATGACTATATTTTGAATATAGTGGGAATTCTTCCAGCTTCTTTTCAGTTGAGAGCAAAACATGAGGTTCACCATTTTCATAACAAGGTTGATTATGTAGTGTTATCTGTTTGAACTGTGTCCATAATCCCATGCCTAGGCTTCATGGTACTGAACATTCAACCTTTAGACTGTGTGGGGAGCATACTGTTCCTGGGCTTCAAGAGTTCCAGTTCAGTGTTGGCTTTCCTGTGCCCTTCATGCAGGATTGACCACTACCAGCAGCGGCTGCAAGCATTATTCTTTAAGAAGAAGTTTCCAGAGAGGTTGGCAGAAGCAAAACCAAAAGTGGAAGGTATGGTTAATAAAGCTTTTTCTATGAGTTGGACAGAGGGGTAGGGAAGGTCAAGAGAGGCTTGTCTTCAAAGGAGGTGCTGTTACATGCATGCTATGTTTGTAGAGCCAGTGAGCCCAAGGCTTGTCTAAGAAATTAGTTCTGTCTGACACTCTTCTTTCACCCATTGACTTAATAAAGTCTGTTCCGTGATTGTTACACTGTAAATACGACCTGACAAATATGACAACGTTCTGTCTGGTTGTGATGAGCTGCCAAAAACTTTCATAGCCTTTCTGTGTAGATCATCTCCCTCTTTTCACCCTCAAGTCCTTGCACTTCCCTCTTTAAAGGGCACTTGGAATAGATACTTCAGGACACTGACGCTCTGGGAATGTGTAACCTAGAAGGAGGGGAGGTGTGTGGTTTCTGTACCACATCCATGGTTATTGCAGAGAAGGAGTGTATTCTACTCTACATTTTCAGAAAACTAGCCTTCCCTCTGTTCTCACTGGCTATGCTTTTATAGTGTGAGGTAACAGGAGAGCAGGCTTGGTCCTATGTTCAGAGGAGCTTCCTACAAGTTCACTGTAGGGCATTTTACTTCCAGTTGCCCTCATTCTGGGGGTGTGTGGGTGCAGGAAGGAGAGCACACAGACAGAGTTGCAGCAGTTGTTGTGCAAATGCTCTTCAGGGTATTTCAAATTATGGGCTCAAGCATGTTAAAAACAGCCACTATAACTTGTTCTTCTTTTTTCTCTCTTCAAGCCATTCTTCTGGCATCCAAAGAACTCATCCGAAGCAAGCGTTTGAGGCAACTCCTGGAAGTAGTTCTTGCCTTTGGGAATTACATGAACAAGGGCCAAAGGGGAAGCGCTTATGGCTTCAAAGTCTCCAGCCTGAACAAAATTGCGGACACCAAATCCAGCATAGACAGGTGGGGTGAAAGGCCATAAATACATTGGTAACTGTGCTGCTGCTTCTCTTAGCATAGTAGTGAAAATGGGCTTTTGTTTGGTTTTTGCTCTGTAGGCAATTGAAAATTGTGTCTTATTTGGCATTTAAATAGTGTTTTTCACTCTTAAAGATTCTGCAGCAATTAAGACCAGCTATTAACACAGCAACCAAATTCTGCCATTTCTCTGAATAATGTCCATCTGATGTTGCAGACCTTATGCATAGATGACAAAATATATTTCACCAAAACTGAAATAAGTTTGGGGAGGAGGAGGATTTTTATGGAGTTTTCTCTTTCTACCAAAGTTTTATGGCCATGGTTTTGAAAAAAAAAAAAAAATATATATATATATATAAAATTGTGCTCAGATTTTTTTAAAATTTGTTTATGTCTCCTGTGAAACATGGAGTATGTTTTTGATGCAGGACTGTCACAAACGTTTTCTCTATGTGCACTACCAATGAAACCACAAGGCATAACTCAGAGAGACTGATCCTGGTTGTGTCTAGGGAGATAAGGAAGACAGCTGGTTTGGGAATGTGAAGCTTACTGTCCATGGACATGGACTGCAGCTCTTTATAGTCACTCTGTGTTTTGCCCCATATCCCCATACTGGTTCTGGAAATTAATGCAGCTGAGACTGGAGAGAGAATATGACATTTCAACTCCAGCAGTTGAAGTTTTCCTTGGAGAAAGGAAACTCCTTGCTAAAACTAACTTGCACCTTCCTTGAATTTTAAGACCTGCTGAGACCATAGTTGTGGTTAAATTACTTCAGGCTGTGAGAGAATGAATGATGGCAGTAAAATATCATAAGAAATTCATCCCTACCTAATAGAGTTTGAACTAACAGAGTACTATTCTGACTACCAAAATGTTCTTTTCTGTATTCCAAGGCTAACAGTTGGATAGCTAATGTTGAACTCTTTTTTGCCTTAATGTGGCTTGCCTTAATTTTTCCATATATTAGGTGTCCTTTGCAGATTGCGTTCTCTCAGCAGTTCCCAGGCTTCAATCTGAGTGAAGCAGCAGCCATCTGCTATCTTCCCTGTTGGTTAACCACATAACACCCACCTAAAGTAGCTGTTATGGCTGTGTGTTCTCTTTACATGCAGAATTCCTTGTTTACTTTACAAATTTCCTTAAACCCTGTCCTGCATCCTTCATACATCTCAATTCTATCTGCTCCTACTTGGACTGCCACTGGTTTTGTTTTAGTGAGCCTGACCACTACACATAAGCTCAGATGTTTCATTACTGCAGTAGTTTTTTTGCAGCTTTTCCAATCTTCAAGAACTTTTTTCTCTCCTTAGTCAACTCTGGATTTTTTTTTTCCACATTGCCTCTGAAAACAGCTTGCTTCTCCCTTCAAAGTTAATGTCCATTTAGTACTGTTAGTTGTTTATTCTCTGAAGTATCTGGTGACAAATATTATACTGTGTTATGCAATTTTCTTTTCTGTTACACCATCTACCCACATGGATGGAAGCATGCTGGTGTTTCCAGAATAAATTAGGATCCATAATATTGCTTGAGGTTTTAGGAAGGATGGTCCATAAAGGATTAATCCATTTCAATCCTTTGCACTTTCCTTTCAGTAGCACAGCTGCTAACTGCTGATACATTGTTTATTTTGCTCAAACAAGCACATTTCCTACCCAAATATTTCTCACTGATTTATCACAATCCTTTCACCGTCCTACTCGTGACCATCTTCCTTCTCATTTCTACCTTCTGTTTTTATTTTGTTTTCTTTAGGAACATTACGCTCTTGCACTACTTAATTATGATCTTTGAAAAGAATTATCCAGATATCCTAGATATCCAGTCTGAGTTGCAGCATCTTCCAGAAGCAGCAAAAGTCAAGTAAGTCGAGTGCTATTAGTTCTCAGAGCTGGAGTTCCCAGCTATTTTTGTTAACTTACTTATCATAATTTGTTTTTCATTTCTGTCTTCTAAACCCATTGCCAACCTTACAGTTGTAATGCTTTTATTGTAAATAACTGAATTGATAGCTTTACTTAGATATTCCTGTATTTACTTTATTTCTGAATCAGACATTCTAATTGCTTGTGACTGAACTCACCATATTCTATGGTTGTTCATCTAAGTGTGCTATTTTTTCTGGGTAATTGCAGGTTTGTTTCTAAGATAGGGTCAATTAGGCACAGAGGCTACAGTAAATCTTTTTCAGGAAGATTGTTCAAACTTTTGCACATATCATTCTTGCACAGAAATATGAAAAGCATCATACTTTCTGCAAAAAAGTCAATGGTCCATTTCTGGAAGTATTTGTGAAAAATGAATACAGAAGCCAGCCCCCAAAATACAAACTTTTTTTTTTCTCTTTCCAAAGCACTGCTCAAAAAATATTATGCATATTGTTCACCCAGACATGATTCTTTGTGTATGGAACTAGTCCAACTAATGAAAGACAAGTGAAAAATTAATCTATTTTCACACTTAAAAGGCACTTATTAAAGCTTTAGTGGTGTTTTGGAGATGTAAGCTACTACTCCCCAAATATTTGGAGGTGATGCCTGCTGATTCACAAATAGGTACTCACTAGCTATGTGGAAATCAAAGACTTATTTTGCTCACAAGTCCTAGGAAAAAAAGAAACTCACATTTATATACGATGAGCAGACATTCAGTGTAACATTTGTGTCTAGGGAAGCATGTATGAACATTAACAGTATGTTTCTATGCTCAGTTACAGTGTAAGATGGCCTGGACTGCCATATGGTAGAAGTGCAGATGGAAAAAACAATGTTCAAATTGTGAGGGAGGAAAAATTAAAAAAATCACATGTAAATGTACTGCTAATGGGATTTAGTAGTTATGTGGTGTAAGAATCATATGTAAAGATAATCTGAGACTCCAGTGAAGTGTGTGCTAACGCTGTGCTCCTTGCCTGTGTGTCAGCTGATCACTGCAAGCTGGCTGTGGGGCGTACGCTCCTGGCTGAAGGGTTAGGCATAGCTTGCAGGGCAGATGTTCTGAGGGCAACCTCCCCTTTCCTTCCCAGGAAAATCCCAGTCTTCAGTGTGACCACAGGCAAGCAGGGTCTGCCTCATCTTACATACAAAAAGTAGCACAGAGCATCAACAGATCCCCTTACCCTCATTTCGAGTCATCTGGCGTGGCTGGTGCCAGAGGCCGGATACCAGACGTGATGGGCCAGTGGTCTGTGCTGCTGCAGTTCCTGTACCCCTGTGTAACACTGCTCTTTTTGTTTTATCTGCTCTGCCTCTGTCTCCTGTGCAGCCTGGTAGAGCTGGAGAAGGAAGTCAACAACATAAAGACTGGATTGAAAGCTGTTGAAACTGTAAGTATCTGAAGGTTTCCAAAGTGCCACACTTACAATATCTCTCTCAGAATCAGGGGCAGTATATATTTTATGATAAGATAAAGTGGGCTTTCTTTTTTCATTCCTTTCCATTCCATTCCAGAATGCATTAACCAAGAAAAAACAAATAAAAGCTTCTCATGTGGAGCTCCTGCTGATGATCTTAGCAGAGTTAAGGCTAATGAAAAGCTTGTTTGATCTCAACCTGGAAAGTAAAAGGACAGTTTGAAAAATGGCATGGACTGAAAGAAGAAATAAAATTCATGCTCTTTCTTACTGAGGGATGGATGTCTGCTGAGCAAGTGTTTCACATGGCTCTTGGAGTAGTAGTTAGCAGGTAGTGCTCTGTTATATGCAACCCTATCTTCTATCCTAAGCACTCCTTGGGAAGGCAAAGGGAAGGAGAGAGACTAGTTAAAAATGAAGCAGCTGAGCTGGCAAGCAAAGCAACAGTGGTGGAATTTTTCCTCTACTAATGGAAGCTAGTTGTTGGAAATTGCATTGGGTGGTTTCTGTGTAAGGATTACCTATTTACAAGGGACTAAAAGGACCCTCCAGTCCTTCTCATTCACCATGAGACAAGACAGTGATGAGTTCAATTTTCTTTCACGTGACCTGAATTTGCTTTTGCCTCTGGGGTAGAAGAAGGTATCTTTGTCCTGTCAGCAGCCCCGGGTCTGGCTGTTGCCAGCAGTTCATTGTAATTAACCAGTGATCCTCCTGTGAATAAAAAACCCCAAACTTTCCCAGCCTTATTTCTGGACTGTTGGGGTAAGGGAGAATGCAGCAATGAGAAGAAATACTGCTCCATACATGGAGTACAGTGTTTGGGAATTAAAAGAACTTGTAAAGGGAAGGCTGACATGGAGTTCATGACATGAAGAGAGGCTCAGTATTTGGCTGGGACAGACAATTCCCCCACTTTGAAATGTGAGTAGCTAATTCTGTTTTGCTTTCTTTCATCAGATTATTTGTCCTTTTGCCTTGACAGCTGATTTTTCTTCTCTTTTCCATACATGGGTTCCATGGGCAACCTCTCCTTCCCATACAATCACCATCTTCCTGCCTCAGTCTTCTTCCTGCCATGATATTTTTCTTTTGAGGCTGCCAGCACCTCCAAGTCTGCTTGCTCAGTTTGTGGTTTTCTGGCGTGTAAAAAGCAGCACTATAGCAACAATAGAAGATCACTGTCAGGTGGAAGGGGGAGGAGTGGAAGGTGTGATTCTTGATTCTATTCCAGTGTGTTCTCACCACAGCTTTGGCTCCAGTGACTGGTGTTTCTTCAAGGCCCCTTAAGAATAGAAAGCTAAAAATAGTTTCACAGTCAGATGTTCTTAAAGGTACTACAAACCATTTGGCTTCCTGGATTTGCAGCTCACTTCTGTGTAAAAATAAGATGCATTAATTTTCAAGACATTCATAAAGCTGTTGCCTTTGTGTAGAATGCTTCCAGAAGGACAGATAAGTAATGGAAGGGAGCAGAGTCCTTCTCTTACACAGCAAGAAGATCATAACCACCACTTGAGAAAGTGCTACCATGACTGAATCATTTCATCCCTCTAGAGAGCCAGCAGACCAGCTCACCAGGGCCAGTTCCAGCCTCTGTTGTGCTACTATGATTAGTAGACACCATTTCTAGAATATTCAGAGGAATTTCTTATTCTGTGGTGTTGCTCTCTGGCTGATTACGTAGTCATACTGGTCGCTTGTGTGGTTTCAAAGTTTTCTTGCATTTTGAGATAATTATTCTGCAGGGAAGAACTGAATTTGAAATTAAAGAGACCTCCTAATCTGGATTTTACTTTGAAAAACACTGCTCTCAAGTAACAGTTCCAAATGTCATAGCTTTCAACAGAGTAAGATGACAAAATTATTATGCTCACCTACCAGAGAAAGGGGGAAGGAGAGAGTGGAGCAACTTTCAGTTAAAATAGGCTTAAAAATCAGAATGGAAGTGGCTGAAAATAAAAAAAAAAATCTTAGAAGCATGTGAAGTGACATTTCTTGTATTTGTATGGTTCATTTAAAAGTGATTGTAATATGGACAAAATTCACTGCTAAGTGGTGTACTGAGCAGTGCTCCCAGGATGTCCCTTGTGATCTGTTAGGAAACCAGGAGAAGAGGATTTAATGCAAAGCAGGGGAAGTAGCACTTCTTTATTGTGGGCTTTCACTGGCTACCTCCACATTGCCTTTCCTGCCCCTTTTCTCCTTTGTGGTCTTTCCTTGTGGTGGTTACATTCTCTTTCCAACTCACACCAGACCAAAAGAGTATCATGTCAGACTTTAGGTTGTTGATGGCCAAAGTAGTTCTTGGCATTCAGCAGCACCGTGTGGAGCAAATTCCAAGATGTTTCTCAGCATAAATGCTTACAAACCTACCCATTCGGCTCTGTGAACTACTATTTTGATGAGCACCCAACATGCACGGAGCTAGAGCTGCAGCCAGCACAAAAGTTTTTTTTTTTCAAAGGGAACAGAGGGTCAGATCGTAACTTGACCTGCTGCTTCATGCTGCTTTCCCTACAGAGAAAGTCAGGCTTTATCATTGCCATTGATTATTCAGCTGAGAATAAAGAGGAGGCCCAGATTACAATTTCATTGTCCCCATGAGACTGTCAACAGCACACAAGCCAAGCACAGGCATGGGAGACATCCAGTCTCACTACAAATTAGCCAGTTTCAGGAGCTCTGTAGCTCTCTCCATGTTTCAAGCATGATGATTAAAGTAAGTGAAGAGATAGCTATGGGTAATCTTGGCTTAAAACTAAAAAACTTGAGCCAGAAAGAAAGAATCTTGCAATCAAGTTTCTTTTTCTCTTTGTAGGTAGCAGACAAATAGATCATTGTTTCCTATGGCTTTATGTATTCTTTTTACTTTTACCATAACTCTTCTTAGCACAATAGCCCCCTTTTATAACTGTCACTTTTATGATGTCCAAGCTAATGCTTAGACAAACGCGAACAAATGTTGCACCTAACATCTGTCTACTTGTCCTTCAGTGGAAGAACCAATTTTGATGTCTTTTTTGCTGTTCACCTGGTGTATTCAGAGAAATAAAGAAGAGATCCAGAGCACATTTTCCCAAGTATACAGCATTTTGATTGAGCATGGGAAGAGACGATGGAGCAAAACTCACTATTAAAAGTCCTGAAGTCATTTGCTACACAAAGCTCTTTATCATTTGTCATTTTGCATAGGGGAAAAAAATGCAGCACTTCATGTAGTTGATGCTTAAATTATAAAGTTGTTTTAGAAACTTACCATGTTGATGGCTTTCTTGGGAGTGCTTGTTGTTTGAGTATAAGTGAAACTGTAACCAGGACCTTCCTTCATCCCATCTTGACCTCCCCTCTCTTACCTAAAAACTTCTGGCTTATTGAGAAAGTGGTTTCTAAGTTAGAGCTCTGGATGAATGTGGGAGCAGAGCATGCTCTGCAGTAAGTGAAACAGATGGACTTTCCTGCTGCCTTCCTCATCACTGAGGAATCTTTGACACTTGCCTGTCTCTATCTCTTTCAGGAACTGGATTATCAGAAGAGACGCATGCGAGAATCAGGGGACAGGTTTGTTCCTGTGATGAGTGATTTCATCACTGTGGCCAGTTTCAGCTTCTCAGAGTTAGAAGACCTTCTCAACGAGGCTAGAGACAAGGTAAGAATTCCTTTTGAAGTGATTAGAGTTTCATAAACTCAGTCAAAAGCCTGAATTAAAATGGAAACAGTGATTTAAGGTGCTGGGACTGCCGTGAAAACTTAATAGACACTGGAAATTCTTTAGGCTGAAGTTTCTTATTTTTTCTAATGTGGTCTATATCCATTTAGAACATATTTTAGGATTAAAAGAAGGATCATGTTCTTACCTGCTTCTTTCTAATTTTCCTTCACGTTATTCTTGTGTGGCATAGAATTGCAGTGGCAATATCCTGCATAACAGGATACCACACCTTGCCACGGTGTGGAAGGGAATGCCTTTTAAGCCATTGCTGATAAAGGGTTCCTTTGTTAGTGATGGTGACTTCACATCTTTTTACCTTCTCCTTCTGACTGCATTCCACTTTGCTCATTCATCTGGGGATGTCTGTGCTTTGTCGCTTTCCTTTAAAAATGTACCTGGTAGTTTGATGTCCTGGTTTCAGCTGGGATAGAGTTAATTTTCTTCTCAGTGGCTGGTACAGTGCTACACCAGCTATGCTTGATCTTTTCCACTTCTCTGTTACTGGGTGTATTTCAGTACAAAGATAGAAATCCCAAACATGTGTGGTTTGTCTGAAGTTTTTGGGTTCTTCTTACACACCCAGAACGATGTGTGTGTTTATTCTTCAGGTGCTGCTGCAATCATTTTGTCCTTTCACTGTCTGCACCTCCATTACCAGATTGGTACACCTAAGGAGGTGCTTGTTCTTTGCTGATGGCTGGAATCTGGCACTAATCCCTCTGTCTGTCAGCTGAATGAGGAAGAATTTATATGAAAAGATCAGAAGCATATGAAAATGTTTAGAGAAGAGCAAGTTTTAAAGTAAAATGTATGTAATGGCAAATCTGCCCTTGTTGGCTGGCATGTTAAAAGTGCTTGGCTATATGAAGCAAATGGGTTATTTCTTTTGGATTGAATTGTTTCCACTCTAGTGTCAGTCCTTTCAGTGGTAAAGGACCTATTGCAGTATTAATGAAAGCTGTGCTGTTGGATCAGTACACCTTAGATTTTAAAAACATAGGCTGAGGATCTTGACAGTAAGACTCCTCATTCATCCAGTTCCTCTGCAGTAGTGTTATTTTGTGATTCGAAAACACTTCCTTACTGTGGAGATAAACTTGGTAATAGTGACTTGCAGCTGCAAACGCAGGAGCCACCGGCTGTCATTGAGGGCTGCCCTGGCAAACACCAGTGGGGCAGTACCTCTTGCAATGCTCAGAGGGCAAAGCTGGGCAGTCTAACACCACTAAAAAATTCTGGGGAGAATAACATGATTAATTATTTCATAGTATCATAGAATGGTTTGCATTAGAAGGGACCTTAAAGATCATCTAGTTCCAACCTCCTCTGCCCAGTCATGGGCAGGGACACCTCCCACTAGACTGTGTTGCTCAGAGCCCTCTCCAGCCTGGCCCTGAACACTTCCATTTTTCATTGTTGTCATGTTGCTCGAGAAAATTCAAGCTATGTCCAGTATAATAATGTTTACACCATACTGGCTTTCTATGCACAAAAAAAAACCAAAAAAACAAAAAAACAAAAAACCATTCTGTGACTCCACTAAATTTACTGAGAAAAACTTGGTTTTCTATGTTCTGGGGGCTTTTGTGTTATGACTGGGTAAAATTTTCAACTTCATTATAGTTAGGCACACATTATTGGAAAGATACTCACTCTGTCCGTGGCTTAGACTGCACACTTTTGGTTTGGTGTTAAACATGGTGGTGCTCCTTTCTTTTTGGCACACCAGGACAAAAACTCAATGCAAATTCTTTATAAGTTCAGTTGGGGGTTAAAAACCAGCAAGTGGTACATGTTCAGCACAGCAATGCAAGTTTCCTTGATCAGACATTTTCAGGAAAAATGCCATTCTTTTGCTTTAAAAATAACCAGAGAAACTCCCTGCAGACAGACCAGTATGTCTGGAAGTTGTTGTACGCTTTTTTAGACATAGCCAACATAAAGCACTCAACATAAAGAGATGTTTTATTTTAATGACTATAACATGCTTAGGAAACGTTACTCTACCTTCTCCTTACACACCCTTGCTATGTTTCAACATAGACCATTCCAAATTTTGCTCAACCTATGGCTTTGGCTCTTCCACTGGCAAAAAGCTGCTTTTGGACTCCAGTAAGGGAACTGTCTGTCCTTACCAGTGTTGAGCTATTTCACATGTTTGCTTCATATTATTTTGGCCCTCTCTTCTTCATCTTTTCCTCTTTTCTTTCTTAAAAAAGGGAAAAAAAAAAAGGAAAAAGCTAGAAAATTTCAACAAAACAGATGTGCTTTGCAAAGCTTATAACATCTTCCAACCTTAATGGGCTCTCTGTGCTTGTTGAATCACAAGCTTTTTTCTTACCATGGAAACATAATGGAACTAGCCAATTAAAGGAAGAGAAGGACCAAGACATCTGATTGTCCTGTTCTTTTTTTTGTTTTCTCAAAGCCAATATAATTGAGAGAAAAGGTAGTGGGGCAGGGAGGACTTTGCACAATATCCAAATGAGCCTAGGAAGAACTGGTCTGACTCACAGATTTATTAATAATAATGAAGCCCTAGTTTTAACCACTGAAGTTGGATATCCTAAATATAGATGTGGTTAATTGATTACCATGAGTTAATCAGAGCCATGTTTTCTCAGCTGGGATTTTAAAACAATGTAACTTATCTTTTCAAACTGGGGAAGTTTTATATTTTTAAAAAAACCTTCAATATTAGCAAAAGTAATTTCTTTAGTGATGGAAACAATCCATTACCAAGGTGTGGTGCTGAGCTTCTCAGCAGACAATATTTTTCACAATCCCATGTAGGTACTGACCTTTTTGGCCTTTTTGCTTGAACAGAACTGTTCAAAGTCAGTGACCATGGGGAGGAAGTGATATTTTAAATTTAAAGGGCCAGGTTGTCAGATGCAGGCATCCATGTTTTCAGAGGAGACCTTGTAAGTGTACTTATCTTCATGAAGTAAACAGATGGCTTGGTAAAGAACTGTTTGAAAACTTAGAGCAACTCTCTAAACAGGCTTTCCAGCACAGCTGGTTCTTGTTCTTTTTGTGTTTTTCTCACTTTCAATACCACTTTATAAGGGAGTATATAGATTAGATCAAGGGATAATGTTTTCTGCCATTTCCCATAAACTGGAAGGTGGGGGCAGGAGAAAGTGAAACTGCCCTGGAATCCTTCACCAGTTTTTATGTGTTTGAACAGATGAAAAATTGATTTTTTTAAAATAAAAAAGAAGAGGTTGAATTTTATTCATGATTTTTTTTTTCTCTGTTTCCTGTGGGAAAGCAATGAAAATGCCCAAGCAGAGGAAGAGTAACCTCCTATGGTATGAATTTTATTTTTCTAGTTGAAAAAGGTGACATTTGTCCTATATGAATCTTTACTATGTACTTAAGTACTGACAGGTATGAACTTAGATCATTAGACTTCCTCAGAACTGTTCTGCTTTGTGCTTGGTTTATAACAAACCTGGATCTTGTTAGGAGTAAAGAGTCTGCTTGGTCAGATATTGCCATTCCTGTGCTAAATGTCAAACTTAAGCCTCTCTATAGAGACACTGTGGAGACTAGTGACTGGGCAAGGTGGGTAGGAAAAGTGTCCATTTCCAGTCTGTCTGATGACAATTCCTCTCAAGCAAGGTATTTATCATGATGGAGAAAGGAGTTCAGAATCTACACATACATTTAATAAGCTTAGCACTTAAGTGACTGTTTTGAAGAACAGAAAGGCAGTGAAAGCTTGCTGAGTGAACACCATTTAAGAAAATACTCATTAATGGCAGAATGCTATGAAGCACAAAGAAATGCTATAGTCCAAGTGCTAGTTATAGGCTATGCACTTCAGTTGTGCATTTTGGAGACTGGTGTTTTCTGTAAGCCACTGAAGAAATGAGTAAGGAATGTATCAGGACAGAGATTGAGAATGTCAAGATGAAATATTCTACAAAAGACACCACCAGCCATTTGGTAAATAAATCACACAGCTGTTGTAGAGTAACTTAGAACTTCAGATGCTGCAGTGCAGGTTGGCATCTTACATACGAGAAAAGTTTAAAGCACCTGCAACTCAATGTAACTGTTAAACTCCTGGGAGAATCCTTTAAGAACATTTAGGCACAAGAAGAGCTGGGCCCAGCCCTACCTGAAATTGGCAGGCCTCTTTCCATTAACTGATCTGAATCTGTCCCGTAAAGAGAAAAGACATTTATTTGACCTGCCTCAGTACTGAATTGGTGTCTTTATAAGAGCACACTCAAAAGCACTTGTCTGAGGAATACAGTTCATGTTCCATGGCTGCATGGTATAATTCAGTTGCATATTGGCTCTTCCCGCAACAGCAGACAGCATAGACACAGGAAATTTTTATCATGGCTGTTTTTCCTTCTCCTCATACAGCCCCGTTCCTGCCGTTTCCAGAGGTCTTCTGCCACTGTTTAACATTTCATTGGCAAGCATAGCAGAGTTTGTGTGTGCTGCTGTCCCGCTTTCCCTCTCCTTGCTAAAATGGCTTTTTAAAATAAACAACTGTCTAAACGATTTGCTTTGGCAAGAGGAAAAATTCAGTGGAAAGTTTGGCAGAGGAAGCAGGACTGGCACTGAGCTCGTGGACCTGCTATATCATGGAGCTTGGGGGCCCTTATGGTGCAGAAATGAAGTTTTTAATGAAAAAAGGTATACCATTCTGTTACAGTGGAAAACCTGCTGAAACACAGTTTTCCATTTTGCTTTTGCCCATGTCATCTGTCCCCAAATGACTTCAGGAATAAGCAAGTTTCAGCCCTTGTTCCACAATATTAGAGCACATCACAAAATTCTGGGAAGCATTTTTCATGCATGAGGACTTAGCTACAGATTTCACAACTGTGCACAAGAGCTGGTGTTGTTTGGCAGGGAATCTGGCCATGGAACAGTCAAGCAATCTGTACACGGTGACAGAAATCCCATGCCAGAGAGCAAAAGAGAGAGCTGTGATCCAGAGCACCTTGATCTGTGCCGCTCTGCCTCTTAATGCCCTGAGTGAGGCAGGCAGTGTGATTTTAGCCACTGTGGGCAAGTAGAAACCTGGGCTTTGTTGACAGCATTGTGGAGGTTGTCTGCAGCAGCTCACTGCCCCTCATCCCAGCACCGGTGCTTTGGAAAAGCACATGTGGTTGCAGAACCAGAATTACAGAGAAGTAGAAAAAGTAATAAAGCTAGAGGGGTCTGTTGTAGTTTAAGCAGTGGAAAGACAGCATGTGTCTCTTTACAGTAGTGCATTACATTTGTGCAGTGCCCTACAGATGTGAACAACTGCTTTTTGTCATTTGCTGTATCAGATTAGTGGGGTGACACTTTCTGTTCTGTAACGAATGGAGAACACAAGCCTCAGAAAGGAAGCATGAGCTCCCAAGACACATCATGGGCAGAGCTGGCAGCAGAAGCTGGATCTCCTGACTTGCCTTCCTCTGCTCAGTCAGCTTTTTTTTCCAGAGAGGGTAGAGAAAGCAGGAGAATGTTTATTTTAGTGAACTCCAGATTTTTCCTTTTGTAGTTATTTTAGGTCATCCAGCTCACAGGCTTTTTGTCTTTCACTGCTTTACAGTAAGTGATTGTGACCTCCTAAGCCCTGTGTTACAGGGCACCAAAGACAGACTGTTCTCAACCCCTTGCTGCTGCTTAGACACAACACCTTAGACTCATGAGTGTGTCTGGAAGGCTCCCAGGCTGCTGAGACTTTCCAGCACAGCAACACTGTTCCTCCTTGGGGTGGCAGTGGGGAGGCAGTGGCAAAAGCTCTTCTTGCTAGTGTGACACGAACTAGCTGGTCCTAGTAGTTGGGTGACAGGCCTTGTGCAGAACATTTGCAGACAACACCACCCTCTAAAGGAGACTTCCATGTATGTAGGATGCAAAAGTTCCAGACAAGGAATCTCTGCCTTTCCAGACTCCAGCTTCCTTAAGTGACTAGGAAACCCCTGTGGACATTAATGGACTCAACAGCTCATTTCTGTGTGCCCTCTCACTCACCTTTGCTGAGCACAGGAGGAACACGGGATGGAGGCAGTGCATTGCAAGGTGCAACAGCTGTCTCCTGTGAGCTGCCCCTGACTTCAGGCTTTGCAGCAGTTGGACAAACCTTCCTTCTAGCTGGCAGCTCTAGTCACTGCTCTTAATTTATGCTTTACTTTCAATTTTCACAGGAGTTAATGACAGGTGGGAAGAGATTCCAGGTAGCACATCCCCTGTGAGCAATGAGCTTCAGGTGCTCCATGTGTTCAAGGAGTGGTGGCAATGCCTGTGCTGAAGTCTTTCTCTGGCACTTTTCTGCCTCCCTGGCTGATTGTCACACTGAAGCATGCAAGATGAGAAAACAGAGCATACAGAGATGCTTTATCTCCTTCTGTGGTATTTACAGAAGCCTGTATGCTCTCTGCCAAAGAACTGGTGCTGGTTCAGTGTGGGTTACTGTAGACTGCTGCATTCCCCTAATATTCAAAAAGCCTATGTGTGTATTATATACAGATAAAATTACAGAGAGGAGTGGGGAGAGGGTCTAGGTGTACATACTTGTGTGTATGCCTTCAGAGGCTTCAGAAAAAAGGAGTTAAACAGAGAAGTAATCTGTTGCTGTTTCTATGTAGTGTTTCCTTCAACTCCTGCCATGTTTGGTAGCTCAAAGCAATTTGCATTTCTTCCAACACTTTTTTTTTCCAAGATTCTTTGGGTTTCTTTGTTTGTTTCTGGCTGAGAACACAGCCTTTTTAAAGAAAGAAAAAAGAATCTATTGCTTCAAACTGCTTTGTGGGCCTGGCAGGGATAGCAGAGAAGGGGAGATGCTGAATCTCTCAGGCTGTGCCAGAAGGAAGTTGCTTTCTTTGGAGATTTCTTCCCCCTGCAGTTGACTGGGAAACATTGTTTATGCTTTACCTGGTACAGGGCCAGAGGGGTTTATAAGACCTGCTTCCAAACTAATTTTGTGCTGGGATCAGAGCCTGAACTGTTCTTTACAGTCTTTTCCATTCTGCAAGAGCACTTGCATAAGGAATGGGAAGCTGGCCTCTGTCAGTATGGGTTGAAAACATGCATCAGAGAGCTTGCAGACACTCAAGCTGGTTTGGTAAATGTTGAAGTTTGTAAGGATGCTCTGCTGCTCTGTGGTTGTGTGCTAAAGTGCAAGCAGGGAATGCTAGGGAAGCTGTGCATCGGGGCACAGGTCCTGTCAGGAATGTGTTCCTGGGGCTGCCTGCTGAAGCACAGAGGAGTGTGAGGGAGGGTGGCTGGGCAATGGATGTGTGTCCTTACACAGCACTTACTGTACGTGTGTACATGCCATTGACAGACTATATGTGCTTGCATTTGAGTGCATTTTGGTGAGCAATGAGACATGCTTGGGAGTGTGAGAGTGCAAAGGAGAGAGTACAACTACTGCAGGACTGATGTCCAAGAGCCAGGGGTTGCTGTGAATTTACCATATCCCCATCAGGACTGCCCTGTGACTGAAGTCCTGCCAGTTGGCTGCCTCCATATGTGTCCTGCAGCCTCAACATTTGCCTTTTAAAATAAAAAACACTTGTGATGTATTCACTCTCTTTTAAGTCTGCCCGGGAGCCCTGGCTGCTTTCCTTGCCCCTCTCTCATGCCTTGTCTGTCTATAGTCTCCTCTCTCCCGGGCAACACCCTGACTCAGAGGACTCCAGAGAGATGAATGACATGGCAGAAGGTTTCTGAGAGGACAGACTGTAGCTTTATTGCAAAAAACTTTTACCTCCAGGCATTTTAAAAGTGTATTTGAAGGGAAGATAGAAGGGGAAAGTAGGGACTAAAACTACTTGTTTCCCCAGCTAGCTCACTGTCTTCCATGCCCTGACTGTCCTGCAGCTGCAGCCAAGATGTGGCCACAGTGTCATCCTCTGAAATTACTGTATTGCCCTCAGGAACTAATGATCATTTTTTGTATCAATGGACAGTTAGTGCTCTTCAGCACTATTGCTGCATGTTGCTCGAAGGATGTCCAGGAGAGCAGACTCTTCAGGGATGGAAGCACCTGCCTTAAGGAGAAGCACTTCTGTTGCTGGGGGTAGTTTCTACTCTTGCCACATGAATGCTCAGAGGGTATTGAATTACATGGTGTGGTTATTCATAAGTTATCCTTGCTGTCTTCACCAAACTGCATACCTAATTATGGCTCTTGTGTTTTCTGCCCCCTTGACAGTATGCCAAGGCACTGAAGCATTTTGGAGAGACCGAGGGCAAGATGCAGCCAGATGAATTTTTTGGCATCTTCGACACTTTCTTACAGTCATTTGCAGAGGCCAAGCAAGATCTGGAGAATATGAGGAAGAAAAAGGAAGAGGAGGAGCGCAGGGCACGCATGGAGGCCATGGTGAGGATCTGGGCACAGGAAGATGTTTCCTTCCCTCACCTTTTCATGCCTTGAGAGAAATTCCAGTGCTCACGTCCTGGCACTGTTTTATGTTCTTCTCCCTGACACCTCTCTTTGACATCATTCTGTTCTTATATGTGACATTTTCCCTGCTGTGTTTTGTCAGCTCTGGAAGATGTGCTGTTTGACTCCCAAATTACCCTCTTTTGGATTCAGATACCAAATCTAGCCTAGGCATTTTTGCCCTGAGACTTTGCAGGATGGGGTTGCCACCACCCCATGCCAGACTATCCTGATTTTGGGTAGCAAGCAAAGAAGCCAGATTTCCTTCGGTCCTGCCAAGCTGGTCAGCTTCCAGTCAGACTCCATCATCATCTGCTGTGTGCCTGTCATCTGACAGTGCACAGTGACACAGCAAATGCCCTGGCACCTGCTGCAGCCCACGCCAGTATTTGTCTCTGGCCAGCCTTAATGCCTTCATTACTGGGGCCGTGTCTGGCCTTGACGTGGCAGGAGAGCTTTGTCAGTTTTGCTGCTGGGGGACAGACGTGTGTGTCCCCAGGGGTTCGTGTGAACCAGCCTCCCCCTCTAACCTCAGCCTCTGTGCTGTCTGAGAACTCGCAGTCCCTTGCCTCCTTCCCCCCTGCTGACGCCTTAGCCCTTGCTGCTGCCATGGCCCCAGGCCGCGCTGCAGGGAGTTGCTGATTTAAATGTTCGCTGAGCCAAAAGCAGTGGTTTTTGTCTTTCAGAAGAGGAGAGAGGTAAAACACGGGGATTCCAGCAGCCTTACTGTTAGACACAGGGATAAAATGCCAGGACACAGGCTCAAGTTTCCTCTCAGCCAGCCTGGAACATTCAGGGCCCATTGTTAAAGCACTGTAGGATGGTTTCATGGCCTAGTACGCCATGAGGGAGGCCTCATGGAAAGAGTCTTCCTGCAATGTGGGGCTAGCATTTGCAGAATGAGCGACCTGCTTCCTCATAGCCACCACCATCCCTTGCCAGTTCTACTGATTCTAGAGCTGAGCAGTGGAAAGAGAGAACTGAGCTGGCACTATCCTGCTGTAAAATTAGTGCAAAAACAGCAGCAGCATGGAGAAATCCTGTGCATCCTCTTGCTGCAGGCCGATTGTGCTTTGTGAGGCAGACATGTGCTGCTACTCATTCCTCATTTCTCCTGCTTTCTTCTCGCCTGTGTAGAAGAGAAGCCCAGCATGGCTTCTTGTTGCTCTTGGCAGAGATGATGGCCTTGTGGATAAGCTCCTACTCTTTTTTTCCCCTAATCTGTGCTGATGCATTTTAGCTACTTCTTGGTAGTGTACCTAGTGATCTGGCATCTTGGTTAGCTAATCCTAAAACTCTGTGTCCTTCTTCACAGCTAAAAGAACAAAGGGAGAAAGAGAGGCGGCAAAAGAAAGCAAAAGCTGGAAGCATCTCTGAAGAGAGTGGAGAGTTTGATGACCTGGTGTCAGCATTAAGGTCGGGTGAAGTCTTTGACAAAGACTTATCCAAGCTCAAGCGTAACCGCAAGCGTTCGGGGAACCAAGGCTTAGAGACAAGTCGTGAGCGGGTAGTGACAAAGCTAAATTATTAATTACAAGAGGAAGAGAAAAAATCAACCAAAAGAAAGTGTTGAAAAAGTGTAAAACAAGGAAGATGAATGTGTGTGATGGCGCCTGGCTGACAGCTGTCCCAAAGGCTTTGGTCTGTAGCTAGAGACGTTACCTTTCCATGATCAGCTTTCCTCTCACCCCTCTTCTGTGCTCCTAATTTGAACCATTATAAAAGTGCCTCTGTGGATCCAGCAGGGCCTGTGACTGGGCCATGCAGAGCTGACAGATTTGCTTCTGGGAGTTTGTTGTGTCATTAAAGGCCTCATGGTGATGACAGGAAGTACTTGGGCCTTGCAAACTGCCTCACAGCTGGAACAAGATAATTTTCTGTGTGCCAAAGTAAAAACTAGTCATCTAGATCTCTGTCTTGCTGATAACAGGGAAGACTAATTTCAGACCAACTCTGTAAACAGCTATCACTTCTTCAAGATCTAGACTGGCCTTCAGGGGTTTGTTGGGATGTGGTTCTCAAGTTTCCAATTCCCTTCTAGAACTGAATTTTATAAGCCATTGATTAGCACCTGAAAAATGCATTTAAGCTCATGTCCTGTATTTTTTGTGCGGCCTACACTGTCCAAAGCAAGTAAAGCTTAGAAAGAAGTCTTCAGTTTCTGTAACAAAATGAAAATCAAGAATCAAGATCAACATACAATAATTTGCAAAAGTCTTTTGGATTCTGTTTTGCTAGAAGGAGTTTTCTGGAATTTCTCAGTGGTTGAGTCTCAAAGCTATGAAATGCATCTTCTTGGAAAGGAACTGTGGCTTTCCTTTAGAAAACTAAGCCACTGCCAGGTTTGGATTACAAGTAGATAACTGTAGAGCCTGTTGTCGTTGCTGGAGGCTGGCAGAGAATCAGTGGAAAATTTCTTATCTGTTTGTGCAGGATTGGAAATTGGGAACTCCCTAGTATCATCCACAGGTCTCCAGTAGCAAACAGCGAACAGGTTCACTGCCTGCAAGAAGTGAGATTTCTTTTCCACTTGATGCTAGCTGTGATTGCTGTTGGCATGAACTGGTCTTTCTGTCCAACAGCCTGACCTCCACTGCACACACCCCACTCCTGCTGAGGGGAACCACATCACTCAGAAAGGTATGAATGGTGTCAAAGGAGAGCCTTGGAGCACACTGCCTTTTTCATTTTGAAGAAATCACTTGGGATGAACCAAGGGAGAGCTCCATAATTAAAACTGAGAGTTTTTTGAGGAGGACACAGAATTGTGTAAGCCAAGCAGACTTTGGAGTTAATTCAGAAGAAACAAATAAATTTGTAGTTAAGTTATAGGAATTAAATATATAAGCAGAAAAGAAAAGAACCCAAGAAGAGGCTTGAATTCTGTGTGTCTTCATGGTTCTAGAAAAGGGATTGGATTGTGTGGGCTATCATGGCCCTTTTTTTTACCTTTTTTTTCAAACTTGTCTTCTTTTTTTATTATCTTCCCTGGAGAAGGAAAAGACAAAAAGAAATACTGGTGATGGATACTTCATCCTAGACAGGAAGAAAAGAGAGAACATTTGGAAAGAGAGACCGACCATCTACAAATTGCTGCATTAGTCAATAGCACAAAATGTCAAGGAATCCCAGGGAAGTTTAATCATTTGGTTTGATTTTTCTCTGAATGTCACTTAACCTCAGGCTCTGCACTGAGTCTGCAGAACAGAACTTCCTCTACAATGCACGCTGCCTGATCAGTATTACACACTACAATGTTGGAGAAGCAAACTGTGGTGGTTTTCTGAACACTTTGAGAGTTAAATAATTATGTAAACTATTAAAAGCAAAAAAGAGAATTGAGAGAAGAGAAGCAAAAAAGTCAGAATTGTTAAACTCTGATGTTTCATTGTTTACTGGATTTTGAGTCTCCCACCCTTGAATTTCCCTATTTAGGACATTCCAGACTGCCGCGCCTCTGTATAATACTCATCGTAAAGAGCTGGTATCTTACAAGAGCTGGGTGCATTCTCCTCCCTTACTATCCCACTCCCCTTCTGGGATTAGCTATTAACAGCAATGCCTATTGCAGTGGACACAAGCACCTTGTAGAAGAAAGACTATTTCTTAAAGGTTTTTGAAAGTTTAAGAAAAAAATCTCACTTTTTTAAGCATTTTTATTTTAAATTACAAATGGATTTTTAGAAATGTCTCTTGTAAATTATATTAACTAGCTCCTTGCTGCTCCCTGAAGTAGACTTGCTATATATCCCAGCCCTTTTGTTTGTCTTGTTTTAAAGCATGCCATGTAACCTATGCCATGTAAGCCATATGAGAGGTGGTAATATGTGCCAAATTGGTATACAGTTGAGTTTAGATTTGAATAATCCCTGAATTCCAAAGACTATGCTTTTAGGCATTAGAACATTGTAGGGGTTTTTCCTCCCTCTTTGTTCTCCCTGGGTTTAGGACTCACCCAGAAGTTCACGTGTAGTGCCAAGGTCAGTCCTAGTGCAAGATGATGTGCAAGTACAGCTGCTTGCATGCTCCCCAGGTACTTGTGTGATAAGGCAGACTGTCAGTGTGGCAGCTGCCAGAGAAGAAACACCTCAGGGCAAACTCTTTGAATATAAATACAGCATTTCCCCTGCCCCGGTATTTGTCAAACCAGGTCTGTGCTGTGCTTTCTGAAACTGAAGTCACTTTGCCAGGCCACAAATGTAGCAAAAGCAGAGAGAGTGATAAATCCTCTGTCCCTTTGTGTACACAGTTCAGCCCTGACTTAAAGAGGTCCTGCATGATGGTACACAACAACACTCCAGCCACCCTGGGAGTCAAAGAAAGCTGCTATGGTTTTGCCACCTCTTTAACTCATACATTAATAATGAGTTTGTGCAACTCCTGTAAATCAGCTGGGGGATCCTTAAGGGGATGGACAGAAAGCTCAGAGTCATGTCCTGATTCAATGCAGCTCAACTTTCTCAGCACTCCAGTGCCCTAGGCTCCCTGTTTTGAATCAGCGATGGTGGCCAAAAGCTTAATTCAGTGTGCTGGACAGTCCCCCAGGCTCTTGACTCCATCGTGAAAGTTCATAAAGATTTTGGAAAAGCTCAGTTTCACACTGAGGCAAGCAGTGTTTTCATACAAGTGGTGACAAGCAGAGAGGTCCATTAAATTATCTACTGTATGAGATGAGGTTACCCACACAGAAGATAAGGAAAAAATTGTCTCTGCTGTAGGGCCTGGCCTCAGATTCGTGCTGAAGCCAAGTTTGTCCATGTTTCTCATCTCTTGGGTATTGTGAGTGCATATAATACTCTCTTCTTCAGCAGTTGTAGTTGAGTTGCCAGGTGTTGAAGGAGAAAGGAAAATCTTATTCCTGAGTAGACTTAGGAAGCAGTCTGAGGTCTAACATCACTGGAGAAGAGCTAGGGTCTGCTGTTGTCCTTGCACCTGTGCATAATAGCAGCATTTTAAGAGAAGTCACTCTGTGACTGGAAATAAGCAGAGAAGAAGGAGATGTGAGAAAGAAAGGCATAACTGAGGGCTTGTTCTACTTCTTGCAGAAATACCGTGATTGCTGACTTTATGTTAAAGTTCCTCACACCTAGAAGAGGTACTTCCTAACTCTCCAGAATTTATCCCTAGAGGTCTAGTGCTCAGTCACCTCTGTCTCTGCACTGTTGCTGCACAGGTTGCATGAGGATGAGCCCAGAAAACACTGAAGAAGACTCCCTCCCCCTTCTGCTTGCTTTTAACTGAGTCACTCTTCTCAGTCTATTGTGTCTCTAGAAATGCTACAAGGTAAAGTGACTTCAAGGAGCAAGACCCTTCCATGCTCTGTAGCACAGCCATTGTCCAGGCACCAGTTCCCTATGAGAACAGAAGTAGAACTAGTGTTCAAGGCCGAGAGACTTCCTCACTAGGGAAAAAAACCTAGATGTCCTTCAGAAGCATTTCTGTAATGTGTTCACAGTGTCTGAGGAAGGGAAAGGAATTGCCAAGGATCCTGGTGGGAGACCATGGGGCAGGTGTTTCATAATAATCAGCCCCACTGGCTAAATCTTTCCTTTTCTTTAGGAAAGATCACACTTTGAGCTGGATTGCATGGGAGAAGATTGTGTCGGGAGTTTCTGTGAGGGGAAATGAGATCCGTTGTACAGTAGATGATGTACATGATATATGCAGTTTTGTTTCTAGGTTGGTTGTTTTGGATTTTGTTTGTCTGTTTGTTTGGGGGTTAAATGATTTTAAAAAAAAAGGTTTTTAGGAATCTCTAAGGGGAACCTGTAAATCTGACACCTCTATTTATTTTGCCTTATTTTAGTTTGCTATGTTTGTATGTATGTATACACTGCATTACAGCAAAGACTATTGAGACCGTGCCAGGGCATTACACCAGCTGGAGAGCTGGCTTGGCTCCTGTGCCAGCTGAGCCAGGCCAGGGGATGCAGGTGAGCAGTCTTGGTGTGGGAGGGGAGGGAGGAAAAAAACCTTTTGGCTTTTGTCATAATGACTCTGCCCATGGTGATCCTGGTTCTGGGAAAGCTCTCATTTTATAGCTTGTGGTGATCTGATGGAAGCTGGTTATTTTAGACCACTTTCTACAAAAGATGTTTGTTTTTTACTATGTGTCATGCTGAGAAGACTGAAAAGAGTTAAGGTGCATACTTGCCTGCCCAAACTTCACCCTTCCACACAAATTTGGTCCTTAATTCCAGAGAAGCTTGGCCAGATGGCCAAAAGTTCATAACCTGTAACTTCTCACCAGATTTAACACACTGGTGAAAAAAACTGGGACAGTTCTCCTTCCTCAGAGCTAATGTTCCTCCGTATCTTTATGGCCAAAGAATGATTTCATCTACTTTACCTCTTTCCTCCTCCAGCCCACCTCCCCAGGTTACCTCAGGTAAGCAAAATCTTTCTATGGATCGGTTTGTAACACGTGGATTCTCTGGCAATCAGAAGGTGTTTGGTCATGGCTCCTTGGCTTCTGTGCTTGACACAGGAGATTTCTGATTGCCTGCCATGCAAAGAGGTAGTCTCCATTGGCCACCCTTGTTTCTCTTATAAATGTAGAAGAGGCCAACCTGGATAACACAATTTGGCCAACTGAAAATATAGAATTTATATATTTATTTACATAATGCATTAAAAAAGCTATCTACTAATCTAAGTAGTAGTTGTGATGACCAGTATTCTCTGAAGCTGGCCAGATTTGCTCACTGTGCCTGCTGAGCAGGATGCCAGTCTAGTGTGGTGTTTTGGAAATTCATGTAATGAAAGAGTCTGGATGGTTCCAAACCAGAGTCTTCTGCTGTGGGTAGTAATGTAGAATTGATCCACAGTAACCAGTTCATGTTGCTCTGGTTTTACATCAGCATAATTAAAAGTATGATCTGAACTAAAACTCTCCTTCAGACAGTTTTGTCTATTTACAAGATGTTCTACCACAGCTCATGTAGAGCATAGTCTTTACAGCCTCCCCCACTAGGAGCTCTGAGCCAAGTGATCTAGAAAAGCCTCTCTGACAAGCCATTTGGCCCCTTCCTGGTTGCCTTCAAACAGGCTCTTTAAAGCTCTTTGCAGTTTTTAGAATTGTGAAGGAATGTTCGGTACCTGAGCCGCTCTGTGCTCAACGCCTCCCTTCCAAGTCATCCCCACCTGCAGCCATTCTGCTCCCGTGCAAGCCTGCTCAGCTTGAAACTCACAGGTCACCTTGGGATGTGGCTTTGCCTGCCAGGCTAGAAAGTACAGTGCTGCTTACTGAAGTGGGAGGTTATGTGCTGCTGTAATGCCTTGGCCTATCCTCATTTCTTAGTCAGTTTAAGACTATAGGTGAATTAAATGTACAAATCCTGTAGTGTCCTTTTTATCTGTATCTTTTTATAAGAATATACTGTAATACTAAAAAACAAAAGCAAAAAAAATTAAAGATATATTGCCCCCACTGCGTCTCTGTACATTTCTTGGTAGTTTCATTTTCTGTGCATTTTGCTGCAAAGCCCAATAGGCGAGTCAGGGTCTCGGTGCAGTTTTTTTTTAAGCTCTGGGTTTTTGGTCAAGAGTGTGCAGCTCTTTGGGTGACACTGTCACTGCAGAGCTGTTGAGAAACTCTACAGGTTGTTCTGGGAGCACAAGCAACACCATGGAACACAAGCACATTCTCCCCACACTGTACAATGGTGAAGAGCTGATTACAGAGCCAGCAGGTTACCATATCCAAGGGTCCCCTTATAAAGCTCTCTTTCATTCATCTTTCAGAGCTACATATGGTACACAGGCGTTCACTTAAAGAAAAAGAAGAAAGTAAGACGGTCCTGATATCTAGGAGTTCATAATCCATGGCTGGACATGACTATTCCAAATGAGGAAGGGAGTGCAGGGCAACAGCACTGACCCTGAGCTCACTTATGTAACTGGGCAACATCCTGACAGCAAGTGTTGACTCAGAGGAGGAGTGGGCAGGAGAGCATTGCTGCCAAGGAAGGAGTTAAATAAGACCAGCTGAAAAGAAAGCAGGAAAGCCAACATTAGGAGTGAAGACTTCAGAAAAACAGGGTGGGGAGTCTTGAGAGAAGTAAGACACAGAACAGCTGGGTGAATAAGATGCACACAAGGGTTAGGGCTAATTTGTGGCTGAATTGAAGGGTGTGCTGAGGAATTGCTTGAAGTTCAGGGGTAGAACCTTGTCCTCATCATAGAGGTGACGGGTGAAACAGCTGTTTCATTCATGCACAGATCTCCCCATCTCTGTTAATGGAAAGAGCATGCTGACAAAATTATCCTTAAGCCACAACGTTTAATTCTTATCTTCAACCCATCAAAGGGCAATGCTTTAACCTTGAGCTCCTGAGATCATGCCTAGCTTCCAAAGGGAGCCTTGCTGGCTATGCAGCACATTCCTGCAGCACTGAAGTTCTCAGGGACCCCAGACAAAGCCCCAGCTGTTGGCTCTGGCTCTCAGGTGGGAAGAATTGTGGAAATCAGCAAAAGCAATCAGGGTGTAATTGCTTGCACAGGCTGAGGATCAACAAGCAGCAAATGGGAGTCCGAGTGCTTTGTGGGAAGGTGGTTGGCTTTTAGTTGTTAGAAAGACTTTCTCTGTTTTTATCTGTTTGGTTCACACTTTGCTAAAATTCTGACTTTTAGGTTCATGTTGTACAAATGCAAAGGCAGAGGCAAAGGGATGTTTCTGAAATATCTGCATCAAGTGAGTGGTAGAGGCAGGATGAAAATGCAGGAGCCTCCCTGAGTTCTCTACCCTGGCAGCTGGGGTTTGGTGGAGGAAGTCAAACCATTGGTTTTCCTCTTATTAGAGGTGAAACCCAGTAGCATTTGAATTGTTTGCATTGAACAATGCAGACATCCTGCCTGGATTGTAAGAAGAATTTCTTTAATATTTTCTTTGGGGTTGGAGCACACAGTGAGGAGCTGGTGTTCTGCCCTGCAGCATGGGTCCATCACAGAAGCCTCCTTCCATCTTCCTGGTTGATACCTTTCCCATGATTGTGGACTTCCCTGTCCTTGTCATCACTGCACAAAGCAAGGTAAGTGCCTTATGGCTTTTTCTGAGCAAATCTATGGCTGGGGTTTAGCTGCCCTGAATGACTGGGGATGAAGAAGAGTGTAAGGGGAGCTCTCTGCTCTTGCTGGGAAGGGCCAAGCCTCTCATTTATCAGTTTTCTCTTTCTTTAACTTTTGGCTTCTGCTTAAACAAAGGTGACTTTTATCTCTGCCATAGTGGACATGGAGCTTTCTGGGAGAAATCTGCTTGGTCCTAGATTTGTACGACTAGAAAATAAAATAATCAAAATTTGGGGGTCCATCGTTGTCCCCTCTCCCCCCCCCCCCCCCCCCCCCCCCCCCCCCCCCCCCCCCCCCCCAAAGCCCAAAAGTTTTGGTTTTCAACATTGTTTTGATAGAGTTTGTTTGTTTGATGTTCCTGTAGTTAATGGGCTTCTTGCTGTTTTCTCTGAGGCATAGTTGCTATTTATCTCTACTTTGATTAGGCTCACTAGGAGGTAAGGTCCTTTTTTCCCTTTTTGTCTTTACCCTCCTTTTGCTGTTTTTTCATCTCTTATGCCTTTTTGTTTCTCTCCCTTTTACCATTTTTGCCATTTTTTCCCTAATTCTCCCCATGCCAGACTCAGCAGTGAAGTGGAGGCTTGCTTGGAGGCTTGCTTTGAGTGAGCTGCTGCATCTTTCCTACCATGTGACAGCATTGAACCCCAGGGGTCCAGAAGGGTCTGAAATGTTGTGAATAGGTTAACATGGGAATCCAGGAATTGTTCTTTGCCCACCTTGTTTTAGATGTGGGGCACAATTGTGTTGAGCCAACTCAATTTCTTGAGTGCTCGTGGAAGGAGAACTGATCTCTAATTGCATTAATTTAAAAAAAAAATCAGGAAGTGGGACAGGGAAGATTAGTTCAGTTAGTCAGAGTATGGTGCTAAAAACACCAGGATTGTGGGTTCAATCCCTGTACAGGCCATTCCTGT